CTCTGCTCTGTAGAAGCACTTCAATAAAGAATCAAGTTTCTAGATCCATGTGAAAGTGAATCTGGGTTTGCTATTGTTTTATACTGGTTTTACACTATTCTAATATTAAACTGTTTTAATCACTATAGCTGTACATAAAGAAATCAGGATATCTTATAGATCAAGTCCTCCTACCTTGACCTGGTTCTTGAGAAATGTCTTGGCTATTCTTAATCCTTTGCATTTCCATATATATTTTAGAAAAGACATGTAATTTTGAGCTCTGCAATTTCTAATCAAACTGGTAAAATACCCACAAAATGAATCCAGATCATGGTTCTGAATGGGGACAATTTTAACACCCTACTTCCTACCCCAGGGACACTAGGCATAGACATTTCCGGTTATCACAAAAGGCAGGGATACTACTGGTATCTAGTGAGTTGAGTCCTAGGAGATGCTACTAAACATCCCACAATGCATAGGACAGCCCCATAACAAAGAATTATCCCATTCAAAATATAATAGTGCCATTGTTGAGAAACTCTGTCCCTAATAAATCAAGGGGTAAATCTGTATGGGCCCATTAAAGGGTAGGAAACATCTACCAAAAGCAATGATTTAGTTATAGAAAAACTGAATTGCAATGTGTCAAATAAGATTAACCCCAACTCATTAAAAAAAAAATCACATAACCTGCATATAAAAATGGCTTACCTTCCTGTTCTTTATAGCAGGGCAGTTTGCAAGAAATTTACCAAAGGGGTTGTCTTTAAAATATAAAATTATAAAGAAATAAGATCTATCTAGAATGAATAAATAAAATAAATAATCTCCTAGAAATCAGTAAGAAACAACCCAATAGAAAAATGGGAAAACAACTTAAATAGGCAATTCACTGAAGAGGATATTCAAATACCCAATAAACATATAAAAAGAGGGGCACCTGGGTGGCTCAGCTGATTAAGCATCCCTATCTAACTGTTGATTTTGGCTCAGGTCATGATCTCACAGTTCCTGGGATTGGACTCCTGGGATCAAGCCCCGAGTTGGGCTCTATGCTAACAGTACAGAACCTGCTTGGGATTCTCTCTTTCCCTCTCTCTGCCTCTCCCCTGCTCACACAGTGCACTCTCTTTCTCTATCAAAAATAAATAAATAAACTTAAAGAAATGGGAACTCCCAAACACTGCTGGTGAGAATGTAAGAAGATAATACCACTTTGGGAAACTGTCTGTAAGGTTCTTAAAAAGTTAAATGTAAGTGATCTAGTCATAATATTTCTAAGTATTTAGCCAAAAAACCTGAAAGCATATTTCCATAACAAAGACTTATACACAAATACTCATAGTGCTTTATACGTAATAGCTTAAAAATAAAAACTCAAATATAAATCAACAGGAGACTAGAAAAACTATCTGTAGTACATCCATACAATAGGATATTACTTAACAATAAAAAGGAAAAAGTGTTTATACATGCAACAACATGGATGAATTTCAAAAGAATTATGTTAAGTGAAACAAGCTAGATAAACTAACTATGATTCCATTTATATAAACCCCAGAAAATGCAAACTAATCTATATTGACAGAAAGGAAATCAGTGGTTGTTTGGAGAGAGTGGGTCATGGAGGATTGGGAAAGAGAGATAATAAAGGGAAATGAAAAAACTTTTGAAGGTGATGGATATGTTCACTATCATGATGCTGGTGAAAGTTTAATGAAGGTACACCTATTTCAAAATTTATCAAAGTGTACCATGTCTGTGTATAGTCATGTCAGGTATATTTCAATAAGGCTGTTTTTAAAAAAAATACAGGTTGTATAGGGGTGCCTGGGTGACTCAGTCAGTTAACTGTCTGACTCTTGATCTCAGTTCAGGTCATGGTCTCGTGGTTTGTAATTTCAAGCCCCACATCAGGCTCTGTGCTGAAGGTGTGGACTCTGCTTGGGATTCTGTCTCTCCTTCTCCCTGCCCCTCCCCACTGTGCATGCGCTCTCTCTCTCTCTCTCAAATAAACATAAAATTTTAAAAAAAAGAACAGGTTGTATATAAAGATAAACCAGAGTTCCTGTAATTATCTCAAAGTGAATTCCATTCATTCATGCAACAAATCTTTATCTAGTACCTACTATAAGCCAGGCACTCTGGTAGGCACTAAAGATAGAATGATAAGCAAACTGACATGGTCCCTGACCTCATGGAGTATATAGTCTGCTAGGGGAAGCAGAGATTGATAAATGATGCACAAAGACATATGGATAATACAAACTATAACAAGTACTATAAAAGAAAGGTATACAGTGAGAGGACAGAATACAATAGGAAACCAAATCTAGTCTGATAGAAAGGTCAGTATGGCTCCTTTGAGGAAGTGATGTTTAAGCTGAGACCTAAAGGAAAAGTAGGAAAACAAACTGAAAATGGGATTTTTCTCAGAAGAGACATTATAAGAAAAGGCTCTGAGGCAAGAGAAAACATGATCCTCTTAAGGAATGGAAAGAAAGTCAAAAAGGGCTAAGGATCAAAATAGTGTAGACAACACTGGGGCGCCTGGGTGGCTCAGTTGCTTAAGCATCTGACTTCAGCTCAGGTCATGATCATGCAGTTTATAGGTCTGAGCCCCACATCTGGCTCTGTGTTGGCAGCTGGAAGCCCGGAGCCTGCTTTGGATTCTATGTGTATGTGTGTATGTGTCTCTCTTCCTCTGCCCCTCTGCTGCTCACACTCTTTCTTTTTCTCTCTCTCAAAAATAAGTAAACATTGGGGCACCTGGGTAGCTTAGTCAGTTGAACATCTAACTTTGGCTCAGGTCATGACCTTGGAGTCCGTAAGTTCAAGCCCCACAGTGGGCTCTGTGCTGACAGCTCAGAGCCTGGAGACTGCTTCAGATTCCGTGCCTCCCTCTCTCTCTGGCCCTCCCCTACTCATGCTCTGTCTCTCTCCCTCAAAAATAAATAAACTTAAAAAAATTTTAAAACATAAATTAAAAAAAAATAGCATAGGGGCGCTTCAGTGGCTCAGTTGGTTAAGCGTCCAACTTCAGCTCAGGTCATGACCTCACAGTTCATGGGTTCGAGCCCCACACTGGGCTCTTGCTGACAGCTTGGAGCCTGGAGCCTGCTTCAGATTCTGTGTCTCCCTCTCTCACTCTGCCCCGACCCCGCTTGTGCTCTCTCTCAAATGTAAATAAACATTACAAAAATTTTTTAATTGTTTAAAAAATGATCACCTCTCCAGCATGAATTCAACCACTTCTTCCTCATTCCTAACATAATCATACTTTAGTTCAAATAGCTATCCTCCTCCACACAGTCATGTGTTTTAACGGACCATGACTCCAACCTTGATTTTAGAAGTGGATACTATTTAGACTTAAATCAGTCATAACAACCTCTTTCTTCCTACCAGAGATTAAAGAATGGCATGAGTGATAATAGTAAAAGAAGTTAATGCATGCTCTAAACAAGAGATGGTAGTTGGCACTAAGGAGGTATCAATGGAGATAGAGGTTTGCATGGAGAAATATGGAAGAACACAGTATATGGGATGTCTCCTAGATTTTCAGCTTAGGCAAAAAATGGTTAACCATTCCCATATACTCAAAGCCAAAGAAATATTTTAAAAAATTAATAATCTTGGGGTGCCTGGGTGGCTTAGTCGGTTAAGCGTCCGACTTTCGCTTAGGTCATGATCTTGCGGTTCGTGGATTCGAGCCCTGCGTTGGGCTCTGTGCTGACTGCCAGCTCAGAGCCTGGAGCCTGTTTCAGAGTCTGTGACTCCCTCTCTCTCTGACCCTCCCCTGCTCACGCTGTCTCTCTCTCTCTCTCTCCTAGAAATAAATAAAACATTAAAAAAATTTTTATAAAAAATTAATAATCTTGTGATAGTATACTTTTATCTTTTTTTAAGTTTATTTATTTAACTTTAGGATAGAGCAGGGGAGGGACGGAGAGAAGGAAAGAGAGAGAGAATCCCAAGTAGACTTTGCACTGTCAGCACAGAGCCCAAAGCAGAACTCAAACCCATGAACCATGAGATCATGACCTCAGCCAAAATCAAGAGTAGGATCTTTAATAGACTGAGCCACCCAGGTGCCTCTTAGTATACTTCTCGTAAATAAATCTAGTAAGAACTAGTTAAGGATCATATTTAAAACATACCTGATTCTCTACTCAGCCTTAAAAAAAGATGAAATCTTGCCATTTGTGACAACACGAATGGACCTAGAGGGTATTATGCTAAGTGAAGTAAGTCAGAGAAAGACAAAAACCACATGATTTCAGTTATATGGGGAATCTAAAAACCAAAACAAATGAATAAATAAACAAATAAAAAGCAGAAAGAGACCCATAAATACAGAGAACAAACTGATGATTGCCAGAGAGAAGTGGGATATACAGGCTTCCAGTTACAGAATGAATATGTCACAGGGATAAAGAGCACAGCATACGGAATCTAATAGATGGTATTACAATAGCATAAGGTGACAATGGTAGACACACTTGTGGTGAGCACACAGTAACACCTAGACTTGTTGTAATCACTATGTATGTAATACAGTATGTCAACTGTACTTCAATTAAAAAAAACCTAATGTACATTTAAAAAAAAAGCCTCAGCTAGGATATACTGGCCTCAGAAGTTCAAGCAAATTCATAAGGATGAATGAATGACGCTAACTGATTTTTGTCTTACAATACATATCAGTATATTTTTTTAAACTCTAACAATACAGACTACAAATAAGATCAATTTCTAAGTACCATTTATTGTGGATTGCCTTCTTCAAAAAATGATTTAAACTAGCAAAATGTCTGAATAAATTAAAAGTCAAGCCAAGAATAATACAGTTCAAGGATATCTGACTACTCTGTGTGTTATCTTAAATAATCCCAGAGAATTAGGTGGAGATACATAATCCATTATGCTCACCAAATTTACCTTAGATAAATCTCATAACAGTAATAATTAAGGCTACTACAGACACCAAGAGAGACAGGGAAAGTATAAACTACCTTGACAAGTTGATGAAGTGCCATATCTTTCTAAAGGTGGTGTACTTGGACTGTTGAAATGATGTGAAGTTCCTTGTTTCAAGTCAATGTTTGTAAAATTCTTTGAATGGCATGCACAACAGCATGACGATGGTACTTCAGCTTTTTTACTTAAGCTTTTGTCCACCGGCTTCCCTAAAAATGAAAGAATCTGAATTTGTAATAGTTCTAATTTAAAAAACATTAATTTTCTTCTTCACCTAGGATGAGCAAGCACCCAATTTGCCCAGGATTGGGAAGTTTCCTAGGATACAAGACTTTCCGTGCTAAAACTAGAAAAGTACCTGGGCAAGTTGGTCACCCTATCTCCAGGATCAAATTACACCAGGCAAAAAACACTTATGTCAGAAATACTTACAGAGATGTTATCATCAATTTACATAATTTGCAACAATCTAAGTCAAAGATTAATATTGTTAACCACTTGAGTACTCATTTATCTCAGGATTTACTAAAATATCAAGCAGGGAAGGTTAAAATAAAGACCTAAAGTATATTCTTAGCCACTGCTATTTCCTTAAACGAAGAAATTGGAAGCTCAATACATTAAATAACGTAAACACATAGGGGTTAAGTCATTCCACTTTATACGTCAATTTCAAATAGAAACATGTTCCATGGTGTATCAATTCTGATACATGTATTAAAATATACTTAAGGTCAATATTCGAACTAAATAAAACAGGTGATTTTTAATACTTAAACTGAATACAAAATTGTAATAGGCTTACATTGTGTGCCTACATGTATAAATACACAATTCATAGACACACACACACACAAAAAGTGAATAATTATTCTCTACAAGCAGTAATGAGACATTATTCCCAAATAATGGGAAAATAATGTCATTACTGCTTATACTACATAAATACTACCAATTCTACTTTTCAGTCTCCCATTAAAATTTTAAGCTATTAACAGATTATCTCATTTTTCCCCAATGACTATCAGTAACAATCAGAATGAACAACAAAAGTTATAAAATATTTACTGTTTCCTTTTAACAGCCTTATCAGTAGATTTCCTTTCAAAAGACATACACACACACACACAAATACATATATACATACCTACACACACTCGTGGTTAACTTTAAATTCTCCTAATACTTTGTCAAATCCATTTAATTATGTAACTAAAACATATCCAATACTGCATTTTGGATTCATTATGCATATTAGCTAATCTTTTATAAAAGCAAATGTTACTAGGCCTTTGTTAGCAAATAAAATGAAAGTAATGGAAAATAATATGGATTCACGAAAACAATATTACAATAAACTTTTGCTTATCTGGCTTCCAAACAAGTTGAAAAATCAATTAGAATGTTTCCTTTATATATTCCATGTTCTAATGTTATGAGGAAGGGATATTAAACAAATACATAAAGGATTTACTCAAAGCAATTATTTGATATATTACAGCATCATTACAGGCCAATCTCTTGCATCTTTCAAATACAAATTATCATAATCATTTTCATAACGATAACTAAGCATTCCAAGATTTCTATGCATACTCTGAATCTTCAAATAAAGGACTACATTATGTTCAAAACTGTTTTAGAATTAACTGAACATATCTGGCTCTACTGAAACTCTTTTGGACGATATTTAACTTATAAAGAAATATCTTAAAAGAGAATCCACACTTAAATTAGCTAGAACATGGTTGAATAATTCTGGATAAAAAGTACTTTATTAAAATGTTTTTTTCACGTCCCAATAAGGAACCTAGAAATATCAACAACTACTTACCATTAAAAGATTGTTGCCATGCTAAAGCAGAACAAAGTAAGGCTACACTTTTCCCACTTCCTGTAGGGCTCTCCAGTAAACAATGTTGCTTACTATTTAATCCTCTGACAATCTATGGACACAAAAACAATGCAAAAATCAATAAGCAATTTACTTCATAGGGTTTCTCTCCAAGAGAAGTACAAATACAGTAACAATGAGAAGTAAGGCTGCACCTCAGGGAGCACAGCAGTAACAGAAGCGAGAACCCGTATTTAGTTCAATCTAGACTTTATTCCTTTATATTTCTCCCTAAAATTATGATGGTCCGAAAAGCACAGCAAGCAAAAAAGAAATGAAAAAAAGCAATTTGTGCCTTAATGGTTTCTGTAAAACTAAAATACAGTTCATGAATATTTTTGATGAAAACAATGAAGGCTACTGCTTATGGGAACGTAAATTGTTATAATCACTTTGGTATCCTTTGTTATTTTTTTTTAAAGTTTATTTATTTTGAGAGAGAGAGAGAAAGAGAGAGAGAGAGAGAGAGAGAGAGAGAGAGAAAACACGCAAGTGAGGGGAGGGCAAAAAGAGGCAGAAAGGGAATCCCAAGCAAGCTCCACACTGGCAACATGGAGCTTGAATTCACGAACTGTGAGATGGTGACCCGAGCTGAAACCAAGAGTTGGATGCTTAACCAACTGAGCCACCCAGGCACCTCTATACACTTTGTACAGAAATTAATGATTCCTAATAAAGTTGGAGATACTCAACTCTAGCATATACATATAAAACTTGTATATACTCCACAAATTTTACCCACAAGAACACAAGAAAACATGTATAATAAAGTTCACAGCAACACTGTTTATAATTGATAAAGAATGTAAACAACTTAAAAGTCTATCAAAAGGAAAATGGACTAAAAAATTCTGGTATATTCATATAATGGAATACTATATAGCATGTAAAATGGATTAACAATCAACAGGCCTACATCTTACATATGTAAAGCAAAAGAAATAGTTCTGCAGAAAGATAGTTATATCATTATGTAACTTTTAAAAATATGTAAAGTAATACTCTATTACTTGTAAACAAGGTATATGGTAAAATATTAAGATTTAACAAAGTTGAAAAGTTGGTTTCCTTAAGTTTGCATATTAATTTTCTATATGAACAATCTCAAAAAAATATACTAGTCTGTATAACAGATAGCAAATACTTCGTAGAGAGCAGTAATTCTGCAAAGTAAATAGAAGTTCCAAATGAGCTGAGAACATTTTTCAGAATGTTCTCCTTTGCCTCCATTATAACCATCGATATACATGGTTTAGCAGTAATAAGTATTATTTTTCCAAAGGTTAGATGTTCTTCAACGAACCAGGCAAATATTTTCAATCCATTTACTATCTGAGAAAATGAATGTAGCCTTATGAATTATAAACATATGTATCTTAATAAAGACTTAAAATAACTACTGATAAATACTTACAGGGGGCGTCTGGGTGGCTCCATAGGTTGACCGTCTGACTTTGGCTCAGGTCATGATCTCAGTCGGCGGGTTTGAGCCCTGCATTAGGCTTCCTGCTCTCAGCACATAGTCCACTTGGGATCTTCTGTCCCCCTCTTTGTCCCTCCCTCACTCACGCTCTTTCTCTCTCAAAAATAAATAAAACATTGGGGTGCCTGGGTGGCTCAGTCAGCTAAGTGTCCAACTTCAGCTCAGGTCATGATCTCACGGTTCATGGGTTCAAGCCCCGCGTTGGACTCTGTGCTGACAGCCAACTCAGAGCTTGAAGCCTGCTTCAGATTCTGTATCTCCCTCTCTCTCTGGCCCTCCCCTGCTCACACTGTCTCTCTCTCTCTCTCTCTCTCTCTCAGAAATAAAAAACATTTAAAATTAATTAATTAATTAAAACATTAAGAAAAAATACTTACAGAATTCATCATAGCAAGCTGCGATGGGTAAGCTTTATAAGGAAAGGTAATTTTCACCCCACCAATTGTATATTCAGACATCGAAGACATCATGCTTTATTGTTTACTTCAGATTCCTAACTGCAACAGAAAGGAAAATCAATATTGAAACACTACCATTCAAAAAAAAAAAAAAAACAACTAGATATCCAACATTAGGACAGGTATCTGGAAATAAAAATTGGAATAAATGTTTAAACAAAACAAATTAAGGTAAAAGAATTTCCTAGTCTTATAAATACAACGGTTGAGAGCATGCCTTGGAATCTGTCAAATGTGGATTTTTATCCATACTCTGCCAAAGCTGTGGACTAGGAGTTAGAAAGTATAGGTTCTAGACCAGGTTCGGAAAACAACTCAGATATGTTATCTTGATCAGTTTTCTTCACTTCTCTAGACTGAGATCCTTATCTGTAATAACAATGGCCTGACACTTAGTAGGTGCCCAATAATTCTTATTTAAAGGTCATTGGGGTAAAATGAAAAGAAGATGAGTTTTGGAGTAAGGCAAACCTACAGCTGAATTCCTCTGTGTGAATCATTTAAGCTCTCAGAGCTTATTTCTTCATCTGTGAAATGGAAATAATACCAGCCACCTGATCGGGTTTTCATGAAAATTAGCCAGGTGCTGAATTAAGAATAATAATGTACAAATGTACCCAAACTTCAGTATCTGACACAGAGGAAATGATCTACTTTAAACCACCTTTTCTTAACCTACGACAGATATAACTCAGAAACTGTGACCTCTTGATATGGCACACAGAAGTTTCTGAGGCATGACTGAATTTTTCCGAAGAGGGTCTATAGACTTCTCATTCCCAGAAATATATCCTAAGGAAATAACTGAAAAGGGGGCGGGGGTGGGGGAAATGATATACAGTGGTATCACTCTGCAATAGTGAAAACAAATAGTAAACGCAAACTGGGGATGGAGGGATGGTTGAAATAACAATGGAATCGATTAGAAAACCAATTATAACCTTAACCACAGCCTATATGTTCCAAAAGAAGAACCACTATCCTAAAGTATTTTCCAGTTCTAAGATTTTGTGATTCTGTGAAGCTCTGAGAATGAAATTTGGTGGAATCTAACCCCTTAATCTGAACCAACAACTCAAAGCTGGCCTAGTTACCCCTGCTCCAGCTGTGGCAACAGGCAGCTCAGAATGGGAGTAGCTTCCCACAGACACTGCGTAAAGCAAACAAACAAACAAACAAACAAAAAACACCACACCACAATTATCAGCCTGTCGCCCCCGGCCGCCTTACGGGCCTCCGCTCCCATTAAGGAAGGGCAGGCTCCCCTTCTCCCCACGTTTCCGTCCTCATACTTTGCTCTTCCCTCAGCCCGTAGAGATCCCAGAGGCTCTGGCGACCCAGTCAACACCCACCGGCCAGCAAGGAGGTTGGGCGAAAACGGAAGCCGACTTCCCGCAAGTTTCGCGTACTTCCCCGCACGGGAGACAGACTTGCCTGTTCTGGGGAAAACCGAAGCAACGCCGACAAGGCTCCGATTCACGGAAGAAAAGGAAACCGATATCCGCCAAAAAAAAAAAAAAAAAAAAAATACAGTGGAGCGCTGACAAGGAAGAGAGGTCACGAGCCTCCTTCTCTCCCTCAGTAGGCTGCTACCGCCCGTGCCCGGTCGCGGCCTCGGGGTTGCCCGAGCTTTCCTCTGCCCCTCAAGCGTCCGCTCAACAACGCTCTCCCGGACGAATTCCCGCCTCCCACCCCCTTGACTCCCGGCATCCAATCTCCGGACGAGCTCAAACAACCAATCAGACGCCAAGACAAGAAATGAAACAACCAATCCTGGTGAGAGGTTGAAGGGGACGAGGACTCTGGCACCCAATGGAAGCCTCCACAGTAAAAATAGACACAAGGTAAGTGGCGGCACCGGAAAGCGAACTTCCGAAGCGTGAATGACTCTTCCAAATCTCAGGGATTTAAAGGAAAAGAGTCCTCTCTGTTTGACTTTTTGAAACCGGTGGTTTAACCTATGTTACAGCTTTCTAGGAAACTCAGAATTGTATTTTTAAAGTCTGTAGACTAACATAGAGGAAACACCTTTAAATTTTGCCGAGTTCCCTGAGCATTCATCAGTGCCACTCAATTCAAATTCGAACCCTACAAGTAGCCAGGCTATCGAAAAGATTGAGGCGGGAATCGCCAGACTGAGCCAAACCGGGTATCTCAAAATATTCAAGGCTTTCTCGGATACCAAATTAAACCAGAAAAACGCTCTCCAGGCCTTCCAGCATCAGATAACTTCATCCTCTATTAAGGCTCATCCACCTTCTGGCCCTCTAAAGACCAGTTTATTCTTCTTTGCCAAGAAGTACACTTGAAGTTCCTCGAAAGTAGGTTAATCATGATCTCTCTGAATTGTTATTTTTAAAAAGTTCTGTATAGTCTCAACTTGGTTAAAATACTACTGTCCAAAAAGCAAAACCTAAGCCATTTTCTCAAATTCGTGAAACTGGTTTGGGAGAGAGGTTTGCTGCAGGAGAGAGGTTTGCTGCAAGAGGGAGCAAAGGGAAGTAAGCTGATTTGTTTGCCTCACTTTCATTTTTACTACATCATCCCCAAGTGACAATACTTACAGTCATGAAAACAAATTCTACTCTTTTAGTTCTCTCAGACTCAGAAATTTATCCCAAATAATCTAAAATTAAGAAAACTTATATTATTTGATATAATTGATATTACCTCAAATATCAATTGATATTACCTCAATTGATAATAGTGCCTATTTGTAACACCGAAAAAAAACTTCCCAGTAAACTTCCCAGTTTAGTATCATAAACTTGCCAGTAGAGTAATAGGGAGATGGTTATAATACACCAATTCAAACATCATGAAGCCAATAATTATAAAACTAAATTATAATTATAAAAATTAAACTTGCAAAAAACAATTCCATATAAAATTAAATGAAAAAAGCAGACTCCTAGCCTATTATAATTCTAACACTAATTCTATTATATGACAAATATGTGTGCATAAGCAAAGATGAAGGGAAAGTACAAAAAATGTACTGTTAAGACAGTGGAATGAAGGATATTTTAAAAAGTCCTTAAAATACCTTCAAATTGCTATTCTGCATTTATAAATTTTTAATTTTTCTTAATTTAAAATATTTTTAAAATATCCAATATATTAAGTAACTCCTCCAAGGTAAGGATTCCGATTTTCCGCTCCTAAATTCCTAAGGCTCTCAACTGTCTATAACCTTGTAGTGTCATTTGATGTATGTGGTCTTAACAGAAAGGGATACACAAAAACTCTATAGAGCCAGAAACCCCTAGAGTCCAGTACCTTGAAATATCCTTTTCGAGTTAGCTGCAGTGAAATGAAACACAAAAAACTACAAGTTCATTTGATAAAGAATATGAATGTTTATAAACCAATATTCAAAATAGTTGCACACATCTGTTTTCACTTGAATAAAAAAAATCACTGTGACAAATCTTATAACCTTAACTTAAAATACATGAATATTAACATTTACTAATATATTTACACATTTTATTTACATCATCAACAAATCTGATGAAAAACAGCATATGTTATTTTAACACAGCAGGTTTTGACCAGTCTGAAAATTGATCCAGGAATGTGCACTGCATTTAGTTAGAAAACATTTCAACCTTTTCTGAACTCCTAGAAGTTACCTACTCACACAAAATATTCCAAAGCCTCTGTTTAAAAACTAAACAAAACAAAACAGGAGCAGTCGTATTTAATCTTAAAAGACTATAAAACTGCTTTGTTTAAAAATATGAAAATTTTATGGTATTTTTTAAGTGTATGCTTTTACTTTTTGCATCAAAAGTACTTAATTGAACATTAAGCATCTAATAAAAGTTATAAATATTCTATCATCTGTGACACTGTGTACTTCATGATTTGAAACAACTACAAATTAGTTCTCATATAATACCCTTATGAGGTAGGGCCAGTAGTAATCCCATTTTACAAAGGAGGAAAATGAGATGTGCCTATATGCTAGTGAAAAGACTGAAGTTAAATTTCTTTTCTTAAAAAACACACTTTCTTATTAGCCTACCCAATTTATTTTACAAGTGAAGAGGTCTGCTTCAAAACAGGGTACTGGAGAGGTTGGGAAGAATGTGTCATTCAGGTATTTCTCAGAAAGCAAAGTACCCTCTATGTTGGATACTTAATTAAGGGGGAAAAAATCAGGATTATGGGTTACCTGAATGCATCTACCTAATCAATGGAAATTACTAACAAAACTTCAAAATCTTTCAACAACATTGTACTTTATGGTTTTTAATTTTTCCTGAGGTCGAAATACTGTTTATTTTTTTATCAGAGATCCTCTAATATTAAGATGTGAATTATAATCCTGATGGTATACCAACAGCTCTTTAACCTAGTGTGTTTTACTGCTCTAAACTTTAATTAGATACCAATGTATTTCCCACCATTGACCACTAGGTAAGTTAGTAAATCATTATAAAAAAAAAAAAACAAAAAAAACCTAAATGAGATCTCTTTTTGGGTTCATCTTTGCACAAAGATGTTTCTGTAAACACTTTTAAACCAGTATCTTAAAATTCCAAATTATTCAAGTATCTTTTAAACATATGTCTACATATTAGTAAAAATTGAAGCAAATATGTAAAATCTTAAAATTCTCATCTGTAATTCCATGGAAATCATTTACAAAAAGCTATTTGCCATCTTTAAAGCCTTCTCAATATTATTTCTTGAGAAGCAGAACTCCATCTTGCATTACTATTACTTGCATTGCAAGTTTCAGCAATTTCTATTGGGTATTTAAACTAATTTTTCCTGAATTCTCCCTTCCCTTTTTCTCCCTCTCATCATTGCATCATTGTCACACTGTTACTAGTGGACAGTCACACACTAGGACTACCCAGACTCATCTTTATAAGAAATTAAGTTAAAGGCATGGCACCTTTTTCCTCATTGCAAACGCTAAATACAAGGCCAAATTTACCTTCTAGTAAGGAGTTTCTTAAATGTGCTCCCAATAGGGGAGAAAAAAAAAAAAAAGCTCTGCTGCTACAATATAAACATACAGCAAAGTAGATCCAAAGAACTGCCAATCAAATACAAGCAAGCATAATTCTTAAGAGAGTTCTAAATTATATTCATGTTGAACTGAATCGTTTAATGATTCCAAGACGTTACTGTTCCCATTCAGTTTAGAGTTGTTGTAAGATGCAAATTTGTATTGAGTATATGCAGCAATAGGCTTCTTTTTTCTTTACTTTTTTTTTAAATTCCACTAACACTCATGTTTATTATTTCAATTATTGTGCTTTCAATACAATGACAGAGCTGTACATCAGGATCCATACTTCCAGTGTCCCCAGATCCATTTTTATACGATAGATCTTTACAGATTCCAGACCATCCACTTGGTTTCTCTTTTATTTGTTGAAGACCTAAAAATATAAGGAAAAAAATAAATGAAGGCAAGGAATCTGGAAAGGATCTTGGCCTTTTTCTTTGATATATTAAAACAACTTTGAAAAAAAAAAAAAAAACAACTTTGAAAATAAACAACTACTTACGTGTAATAATTGGATCAATGTCTCTTGTCTGAGTGGCAACATCAGAGGCACAGACTTGCCCTATTTGGATCAGCAAAGACATAATATCCTCATACAATGGAGGAAATGCTCGACAAAAAGAGACCAAACTTGGCAGAGTTGGCATGAAAAAAGCATAACGCTTAGCCTGCGTTAAAACTGTTGGAAAGAAGTTAAACAACTTTTTACTTTGCAGACATAAATTCAACATACATGGCCTATTAAATATATTAAGCACCATGCTCTGTGCTGAGAATACTAAATTTTCTAAGACAGGCTGATCCCTGCCTTCAGGGAGTTTACAGTCTAATAGTCAGCCATCATCCAACATATAGATTCTTATTCCCAAGCACTGTGTGAAGTGCATTACTAGCATTATTTAATTTAATTATCATAGTTTTATGAATGAGGAAAGCATTAGGATAATGCCTCTTTTATCAAGGAGAAAAACTCTTAAATAAACCTTAGATTAAGAAACATGTGGGGCACCTGGGTAGCTCAGTTGGTTAAGTGTCTGACTTCAGCTCAGGTCATGATCTCACAGTCCTTGAGTTTGAGTCCATGTGAGGCTCCGTGCTGACAGCTCAGAGCCTGGAGCCTGCTTCTGATTCTGAGTCTCCCTCTCTCTCTGCCCTTCCCTTACTCACACTCTGTCTCTCTTTCAAAAATAAAATAAAAATATTAAAAAAAAAAAAAAAAGAAACTTGTTCAAGGCTACATGCCAGTTAGTGGTGGACTCGGGATTTAACTCAGGCAGTTAAAGCTCTTAACCACTAAAACTAATCATAACATGAGATGGATACAATGAAAAGAAAAATCAATAAAGTAGTATAGGAGCACTAAGAATATAAAATTTACTAAGCTATAACATTAAAAGATTGAATTATAGTTCATATTTTTCTTTTTTAACTAATAATTTATTTTTTAGTTTACATTCAAGTTAGCATATGGTGCAACAGTGATTTCAGTAGATTCCTTAACGCCCCTTACCCATGTAGCCCATCCCCCCTCCCACAACCCCTCCAGCAACCCTCTATTTGTTCCCTATATTTAAGAGTCTCATATGTTTTGTCCTCCTCCCTGCTTTTATAGTTTTTTTGCTTCTCTTCCCTTTTTTTTTTTTTCAATGTTTTATTTATTTCTGAGAGAGAGAGAGACAGCGTGAGCGGGGGAGGGTCAGAGAGAGAGGGAGACACAGAATCTGAAACAGGCTCCAGGCTCTGAGCTAACTGTCAGCACCGAGCCTGACGCGGGGCTTGAACCCACAGTGAGATCATGACCTGAGCCGAAGTCAGACATTTAACCAACTGAGCCACCCAGGTGCCCCTTTGCTTCTCTTCCCTTATATTCATCTGTTTTGTATCTTAAAGTCCTCATATGAGTGAAGTCTTATGATATTGGTCTTTCTCCAACTAATTTCGCTTAGCATAATGCCCTCTAGTTCCATCCATGTAGTTGCAAATGGCAAGATTTCATTCTTTTTGATTTCCGAGTAATATATAGTTCATATCTTTTTTTTTTGTAGAATATACATATCTTTTTTTTCATTTTTTTTTTTACAAATAGTTTATTGTCAAATTAGTTTCCACATAACACCTAGTGCTCATCCCCACAAGTATCCTCCTCCATGCCCATCCCCCACCCCCCCACATCCATCAGTCCTCAGTTTTTGTCAGCATTCAAGAGTCTCTCATGGTTTGCCTCTCTCCCTTTCCCCTACCATTTCCCCCCTTCTTCTCCCCCTTGTTCCTCAGTTAAGTTCCTCCTAATCCTCCTATACGTGCAAACATATGATATTTGTCCTTCTCTGCCTGACTTACTTCGCTCAGCCTAACACCCTCAAGGTCCATCCACGTTGCTACACACGGGCAGATTTCATTGTTTCTCATTGCCATGTAGTATTCCATGGTATAGATAAACCACATCTTCTTGTCCGTTGATGGACACTTAGGCTCTTTCCATGTTTTAGCTATTGTTGAGAGTGCTGCTAAGTTCGTATCTTTTAAAGTAGTTTATTTTCATAGTATCTAACTCTACAAACCAGACAGTGTTTAAAATATTAAGGTAGGTTTTAAAACTCAAGAAAACAACTAATATATTCATCTCTTGTTTATACATTATGATTATATTTGTAATAAATTCTAACTAAGCATTTGTAATAAATTGTAACGTGTCTTTTACTGACATAATTATAATCAGAAAGCAGATCTGATTCTCAATCATAAAATGTGGAAAGTTTATTATATTTACTTAAATCTATATATATTCATTCACAAAATGAAAGATGCTATTTACCTACCTATCCATCTCTCCTTCATGATAAATTACATTTGTAACAGAAAAGTTTTCAAAAGAATAATGAAAAGATGGCATAAATTAAACTATTAGTAACACAGAAAACATCGTGCTACTAAATTCAGAAAAATATGTACTACTTGATGTTAGAAGTTGTTATTGATGCTGTTGGCTACACACCTGTTAGCAAAGTTCCCATGACATTCACAGCTAAGCGAGCTACACTGAGCGACTTTGGTAACGCATACTGGATACATAAATGAGAAAGCAGCTGGATAGCAAAAATCTGCAATACAAAATCAAAATGTTACATGTTTCTGAAGAATCCTTAAGTATTGAACTGTTAAATGTTTGACAACTAAAGACTGGAGGGAGATTAAAATTTTCCTAAAGCTCCAAAATGCTCATTACCTGTTTTTCAAGTTCTGGCTGTGCAATAAGCTCGGGTATGAAATCCAGACAAATGTGCATAGATGGAATACCTGCGACTGTCAGAGGTAAAAGTTCACATGGATAACCCTATCGCAACAAGGAAAGGGGAAAAAGTTAGAAATAAAAAAAACTATAAGCCAAATACAGAGAAAAATACACAGGAAGGTTTCTCTTCCTTTATGTAAAAGTTGCTCAGAAATGTATGGTGCCTTACATATATACTGGCATTTCGCCTTTCTAGTGCACTAAAACAGAGATAAATTAAACATATTAGTCTGAAATAAAATCTAAAATACCTGAATTTCTTTCCTTATTACAGAGGACTATGATCATTTATGTGATCTCCATTTTTTAAATGATCCCTATTAATTTAGTAATCAAACCACTCCCCCTCCCTCAAAAATAAAGTTCAACCATATAAGCATCACTCTTTGGAAACACACCTGAAAGTGAACAAGTTTAGCAATGTTGGGATCAGCAATGTACATCTGGTGTAACAGACAACAGATAAGGCACTGAACTTCTCGAAGGTTACAGAGCAAATTGTCTTCTCCTTCCTCCATTCCCTTATTTGAAGCACTAGTAGTAATAACATTTTGAACATTCCTTAGCAAGCTGTCTGGATTGACACTCTTTGCTTTCTCTTCTTCAGTAGGTAAGCAAATCTCCAAGAGAATCTGGACAGCTGCACTATCCTACAAGCAAATAAAACAGTGAATTTAAGAAATTCCTGAAAATTTTGTTTAAAAAACAAATCTAATTTTGTTTTCACATGAATAAGAAGAGTGGTAAATTAACTGTTCTTTAAAAATAAAAAAAGGGGTACTTTTAAAAGCAGATGTGGGCAATCTATAGGGTAGCAATTCTCACCTTTTTTAGGGTCCTTGTTTAGGACCCTTTTAAGTTTCTGAAGAAAATTACACACCTTCTCTGTATAAACGAACATGTAAATATTATGCTAAGCAAAATAAGCCAGTCAAAGAAAGACTAATACCATATGATTTCACTTATATGTGGAATATAAGAAACAAAACTGGTGCCTGAATGGCTCAGTAGGTTAAGCATCTGACTCCTGATTTTGGAGCAGGTCACGGATCTCACTTATGGTCATGAAACAGAGCCCTGTGGTGGCTCTACACTGGGTGTGAAGCCTGCTTGAGATTCCCTATCCCCATTCTCCCTCTGTCCCTCCCCCTCCCTTGCATGCTTTTCTCTCTCTCTCAAAAAAAGTTAATTAAAAAAAAAAAGATGAGGGGCGCCTGGGTGGCTTAGTCGGTTAAGCGTCCGACTTTCGCTTAGGTCATGATCTCGCGGTTCGTGGGTTCGAGCCCCGCGTCAGGCTCTGTGCTGACTGCCAGCTCGGAGCCTGGAGCCTGTTTCAGTCTGTGACTCCCTCTCTCTCTGACCCTCCCCTGTTCACGCTGTCTCTCTCTCTCCTAGAAATAAAAATTTAAAAAACATTTAAAAAAAAAAAAAAAAAGATGAACACAGGGGTGGGGGTGGGGAAAAGGGAGGCACACCCATAAGAGACTCTTAACTATAGAGAACAAACAGGATTTGCTGGAAGGGAGCTGGGTGGGGGATGGGCTAAATGGGTGACAGGCATTAAGGAGGGCACTTCTGATGAACACTGGGTGTTATATGCAAGTGATGAATCACTAAATTCTATTCCTGAACCCAACATTACACTATATCTTAACTAACTAGAATTTAAATAAAAGCTTTTAAAAAATTAACACGTAAACAAACATGTAATTTCAGGGTAGTCATGTATCACCAAGGTAGATCCATGGACTATAGTTTAAGAACATCTACTAGAAGAGTATTCTGATTCAGTGACATCCAAAACAGGCTCCAAGCAAAAAATAACTTCTACCAGAATCTCCTCTCCTTTCTCTTAAATTCCTATATCTCCAAAGATCCTATCCTGCATTCTCCTCTTTTTCTCACCTGGCTTTTTTTCTCACCAAATAATTAATTCCTCTGAAGATGGTGGTTAATAATTAATACCTTAAAGTCACTTCCTGGGGCACCTGGGTGGCTCAGCTGGTTAAGCATCTGACTTTGGCTTAGATCATGATCTCGGAGTTTGTGAGTTTGAGCCCTGCGTCAAGGTCTGTGCTAAAAGCTCGGAGCCTAGAGCCTACTTCAGATTCTGTGTCTCCCTCTCTCTCACTCCCACTCTCTCTCACACTCAAGAATAAACAAAACATTAAAAAAAAAAAAAGAAAAATAGCCTAATTAAAAAAAAAGTCACTTCCTAAAGCTCTTTTTCCCTTTTAATTTGAAGATAAGCTCTTTAAGGCCCTGGTTTTGCAAGGAAAAGTTCTGCCTTACCATCTATTCCACCTGTACAACTCACTGTTGCTGAGTGTACAAGCTTGAGTGTCATTTCACAGATCAGTAATTTCCTGACAGTGATCTACTCAATGCCCCTACATATAAAGGAGAGCTATAATCACTCTTAGCTAGCAGGAAAAAGTGAAAAAAAAAAAAAAGAAAAAAGAATATATGACATGATGTATCTATCTCTGGAAGATAACCATTACCTGGAATAGAAGAAAACAATTACTTCATCTACCTGCTTTCAAAACTTGATCAGAACATAAGATTAGCCTTACATTATAATCATTTATGAAGTAAGGTCAGCTCTACTTTATAATTATAATTCTTGGGTTGAAGGGTTTTTGGTGTGAGGTTGTTTTGTTGTGTTGATTTGTTGTCTTTTTGTTTGTAGACTCTGGTGCCAGACTGCCCAGGCTTGAATACTAGCTCTGCCGCTTACTAAATGTGTGGCCTTGAGCAAGTGGCTTAACCTCCCTAAATCTTATTTTCCTAATCTATATAAATGGAGATACTACTCCATACCTCACAGGTTGGCTGTAAAGATTAAGTAATATATATATAAAGAACTTAGAATAGGATTCAGCATATAATAAGCATTATATAAACGGTAGCTATAACTATCCTCATTCCCTTAACTGAAACTGAGAGCTAGTTTTATTTTAGAACTCAGAATTCTTTTTTTTTTTAAATAAGCTCTGTACCCAACATGGGGCTCAAAGTCACAACCCCAAGATCAAGAGCCACATTCTCCACCAACAGAGCCAGCCAGGTGTAATAAAAAATACTATATCTTTTTAATGTAATATTATATAATATCTCCAGCAGAGACTAGGGTAGCACACACTACATTCAAACATATTCACATTTCTGCAGCAAAACAATATTCACAAATAAGCGGGATAAGGCCATAAATAGCTTCATATCAATTCAGGTCACAAATGAGATCACATCAGGTCAGGTTTTTCTGTCAACTAAATTAGCAAAAAATGCTTCAGTTTTCATAGCTTTTTGGATTTCTGTATCACAGTAAAGGGACTGTGGATATAATAATAATATATTATTCCAACTCCATTTATTGCCAATGAAAATATTTCAGAAAATATATTTTGGTTCCAGCTTTTTGTTTTTGTTTTTTGGTTGCTCTTTTTTAATTTTATTTTAGAGGGAGAAAAAGCAAGTGAGTGAGGGAGAGGCACAGAGGGAGACAGAGAATCTTAAGCAGGCTCCACACTCAGCACAGAGCCCAACACACAGCCCAACACAGATCCCCATAATCTTGGGATCATGAGCTGAGCTGAGATCAGGACTCAGACGCTTGAGGCACCTGGGTGGCACATAGTTGGCTAAGTATCTGACTCTGGATCTTGGCTCAGGTCATGATCTCAGAATTCATGAGATTGAGCCCCATGTTAGGCGCTGTGCTGACAGCATGGAGCCTGCTTGAGATTCTCTTTGTTCCTATCTCTCTGCCTCTCCCCTACTTGCTCGCACTCTCTTTCTCTCTCTCTTAAAATATATAAATAAAAGCTTTAAAAAAAAGGCAGACACTCAACTGACTGAGCCACCCAGGCACTCCTCAGAAAATATATTTCCAAATAAGAAAACACTTCTACTGGGGCGCCTGGGTGGCTCGGTCGGTTGAGCATCCAACTTCGGCTCAGGTCGTGATCTTGCGGTTTGTGGGTTCGAGCCCCTGTCGGGCTGACAGTCAGCTCAGAGCCTGGGGCCTGTTTCAGTTTCTGTGTCTCCCTCTCTCTCTGACCCTCCCCTGCTCATGCTTTCTAAGAAATAAATAAAACATTAAAAATTTTTTTTAAAAAAAGGAAAACACTTCTACTTTAAAGGCTTCAAACTGTTTACCATTTAATCATCTCACTCTCCTGTCTTACTCAAAAATGACTACTTAAGGTCTCAGTAAAATCTACATTGTTATAAAACTTTTCCATATATAAAACCAAACTCCTTATATTATTATACTACTTACCGCTACCTGATATTTTACTATATATATACTTCTTGTTCTATTTGTTTCTACCATTTGATTTTAAGAAACAAAAGTTTTATATTTTGTTGAAATGTAAATCTTATTTAAATGGCTATTAACCTAATATCATAAAAATTATTCCTAATTTTAGTAATATAGTCGATCTGATATTCAGTGATAAAGGTAATACCATTATAATACAATCAGTGATGAAAGAAACTCACAATATGTCGCCATTGTACACAGAGGGCTATCAAATGACATCTATTAACCGATTATATTAATAGGGAAGCCCACGCCTTTCTAGACTAAATTCTATTTTATTACCTGAGCAGCCAGTAATGCATTTTTCAATTCTTCTCTGGTAACTTCTGGGCCATCAGTTTGCCCAACTAAACCTATTGTATTATTCTGAGAAGGCCTATCTTGCTCTGCTGTTTCCTTCAGATGAGCACTAAGATAGGCTTTGGATGCAAGAAGGTATCCATTCAACATGTGAAGAGTGATATCCATCAGTGGGGGGCATCTAAACACAGAAAAAAGAAAAATAGATGAGAAAGAATTATAAATCTATAAATTAACCAGAACATGATCAATCAGTCCTGAAAGTACCTGAAAAAAAACGAAATATAGTAAAACTTTAAAAAATATTTTTAGGGGCGCCTGGGTGGCTTAGTCGGTTAAGCGTCCGACTTTCGCTTAGGTCATGATCTCGCGGTTCGTGGGTTCGAGCCCCGTGTCGGGCTCTGTGCTGACTGCCAGCTCAGAGCCTGGAGCCTGTATCAGTCTGTGACTCCCTCTCTCTCTGACCCTCCCCTGCTCACCCTGTCTCCCTCTCTCCTAGAAATAAATAAAACATTAAAAAAAATTTTTTTTAATATTTTTAAATATTTATTCTGAAAATAAAAGTTTCATATGTTTGTCTTATCCTCTGTATTTCAAGATTTTATTGAATATATTTTAAGTATTATCTATTTCAACTTATCAGCTAAAATCAAATTTAAGTGTATGCCCTAGAGACAAGATTCCTCTTTTGCAAAAATTGATACCACCAGTAAATCTCTTAGCTAATGAATCTGCAAAGCAACTGTCCTCAAAAGAGAAACATTCTGTTATCCATAACATGAAGGAGATTAGAACAGAGTATTTATCCTTTCTACTCCTGTTTCTTCTTTGGAGCAAGACAACTCTGTCTTCCAAAAGTGCCTCATCCACTTGACCTGGGGTAAGTTATTTACTGAGCCTCAGTTTCCTCATCTGTAAAATAATATAGTTATTCATTCCTAAAAGATTGTTACAGATTAAATTTAAATGAGATAAGAAAAACATAATATAAAAAGAAAAAAAAATAGTAACCACTAAAATTTAAAAAGCCAAGCCTTTAGAATAACCTGAAAATGTCACTTCTCGGTTCATCACAGAGGGAACTAACATGTGTGCATAAGCAGGCAGCAGAGCTGTTTGTAACTGTGAAACAATGCAAACAGCCTAACTGCCCATCAATAATATATTAGTGGTTTTTCTTAAATGTCCAAATTTTCTATAATAAACATCTATGTATTTACAGTGGAAAAAAAAGTATGCCAATGGTTAAAAAACTATAGCAATGTTACCCTACATGTGAAGAAAATAATCTGGGGTACTTATGTGAAGGAAAAAAAACCCCAAAAACACAAAAACTCAAGCTCCATTCCAAAATTTCAAATCAGAGTTTCTGGAGGACTGGCCTAGTAATTTACATATGGACTACTATGCAGAAGCTAAAACAAATGAGGCAGAACTATGCATATCAATATGGAAAACATGTAAACAACACTAAGTTTTTTTTTTAAAGAACAAAATAATACCTACGATGTATTACTTGTTTCTTTAAACCACTGGGGGGAAAAAAGTATTTCTACTTAGAAATTTGTAAATATATAGAAAGTAAAACTACATATACACCATTATGACAACAAAGTTTCCTCTGGACATGGAACTGGGATTGCTCAAGAGGCCAAAGAACAATTCTGCTGTAGCCATAGCAACATGGTAGATAATGAGAAAGAACAAGACTTTTCACTGTATATAACCTTTTTCGTTAATCTCCTTTGTTCACTTACTAATGTATATAATGAAAACTTTCATTATACATACATAAAAAAAGAAATAGGATAATGAATCTTCAAGAACTCAATACCAAGCTTCAACAGTTATCGACATATGGTCATCCATTTCCTCCACACCCCCAACCACTTTCCCACCATCAACACAGGGTTAGTTCAAAGCAAATCTTAAACATCATATCTTTTTATGTATATCTTTTTATATTGTTTGATATTTTTAAAAACAATGTGGATGATCAGTTGGTAAAAAATTAAATTTTAAAAATTAACAAATTTAAACGGAAAAACAGAACAAAGGAAAAAACTGCAATATATACATATATATAGAGAGAGAGTACACGCACTGGTATCCTTTATGAACTCTTACCAAATCAAAAAGATAACCGTTCCAATAAAAAACTAGGCTAAAATATAAAGAAGAGATGCCAATGGCCAATAAGCGTATTAAAACATTCAATCCAACTAAAATATGAATTAAAATGAGAATCAGAGGTGCCTGGGTGGTTCACTGGGTTGAGCATCCAAATCTTGATATCAGCTCATGCTGAGCATGGAGACTGCTTGGGATTCTTTCTCCCCCTTCCATACTCACACATGCTCTCCCTCTCTCTCAAAATAAACAAACATTTCAAAAATAAATAAAACAAAATGAGAGTCAAGTTTTCACCTATCAAACGGAAAAATACTGTATAAAGGAGTAAAGTGTAGTATTAAACACTGCTATGGGAACTGGTACAGCCTTTCTAGATGGCAGAATGAAAATGAGTATGAATCAAAATATGAATATTGAAAAATATGAAAGAAAATTCTTGAAAATGAGCATATTATTTTTGGCTCCATAATTCCATTTTTAAGAGTCTGCTCTGGAGCACCTGACTGGTTCAGTCAGCAAAGCATGCAACTCTTAATCTCAAGGTCATGAGTTTGTGCCCCACATTGGGTATAGATATTACTTAAATAAATAAACTTTAAAAATAAAATGTTTACAAAAAAACGAATCTGTTATTTTGTTTGTTTGTTTGTTTTTGAGACAGAGAGAGACAGAACTTGAGGTGGGGAGAGGAAGAGTGAGAGGAAGACACAGAATCCAAAGCAGGCTCCAGGCTCTGAGCTGTCAGCACAGAGCCCGACACGGGGCTCGAACCCACAAACCATGAGATCATGACCTGAGGTGAAGTCAGACGCTTAACTGACTGAGCCACCTAGGCGCCCCAAAATGAATCTGTTGTAAGGATTCAATACTCAGTACATAATCACCACAGCACTACTGATGATAACAAGTAATAGAAATAAGCAAAATACCCAACAATAAGGATTGGGTTAAACATACCATATCTATGTGGAGTATTATGCAGCCAATGGATATAAGAAAGCCTATTAAGGGGCACCTAGGTGGCTCAGTCAGTTAGGTGTCTGACTTCGGCTCAGGTCATGATCTCAAGTTCGTGGGTTCAGGCCCCGCATTGGGCTCTGCTGACAGCTACCTCAGAGCCTGGAGCCTGTTTCAGATTCTGTGTGTGTGTGTCTCTCTCTGACCCTCCCCTGCTCACGCTGTCCTCTCTCTCTCAGAAATAAATAAAACATTAAAAAAAAAAAAAACTTAAAAAAAAAAAGAAAGAAAGCCTATTAATGTGGGGAAACTTCCACAAGTGAAAACCCAAGCTGCGAACATTACATATATTATGATAGCATAATTTGACAACTTCCTGAACAAATGGAGACAATTCAAGTGAAAGGTTATCTTGCTTAAGTGGATTTTTAACACTGACAAATTATTTTAGAAGTTGTTTCTTCTGGGAAATGTTATTTACTGCTATTTTTCTTTTATTAGATACTTAGTGTCATTTATACTGTTCATTCTTTTGATTCCTATTTCCTATAAGACCTTGATCTCACCCAACCACACATCGCTAATTTTGCAAGTTTTGTCACTTCACGAATATTATCCTTCAGTTGAGGAGAGACGAGTACATTCATAAAGTATATATCCTAGTTAAGTCTTCTTTAACTCCAGTTTCCTTCCCCCACCCCAAGCCATCTAACCCGAGGCTTCTCAAGTAACCACCTCTACGACCTCTTTAGTCTAACATTCAAGGCCCTCCATAGTCTGACCCCAACTTAACATTCCAATTCTAAAGTGTGTTCCTTTCAACAACTTACCCCTCCATTCCAAGCCTTTTTCATTTCTATACTTTTGCTCACACCGTTCTTTTTCCCGCAATGCCTTTCTTAACCCCTTACCCTCGTCATTATAATATCTCGTCATCTAAACCCTATTTCTATTTAAAATACTACTCAGGTCCCACTTTGTCTACATCTCTCCTGAGCCTTTAACAGCATTCATTTTACACTATTCATCTGCAAATGACTATTATTCAACTTTTCATGTATTTGTATTACTTCCACATGCAGGTGATAATCACTTCAAAGGCAGGCCCCTCAACCTATGTTATCTTTGAAGTTACTTAGTATAGCAATTGGAAATTCAAATTATTAATGATGTGAATTAACTAAATCTGCCTCTTGAGGTAAAGTCACCTCAATTCAATTGATTAAGTTCAGCAACTGGCAAGGAATTATAGACAAATTGGAATCAAGCTAATATCATAACTGAAAATGACAAAAAGATCACAGCTTTAGTGTACATAATGGTTCATGCTAAGCCAATTTTTAAAAGCCTTTTTCAAAAATGCTGACAACAAGGCTGTTTTACTAATCACATATTAAACTGAATAAAAAGTTGACTGTAGACAAAAAAAAAAAAAAAACCCACAGCTCATACCCCCAATTACCTGTAATAACACTAAGATATAAGTTTATACAGAATTTCTTCAATTTCAGTTGACTCTCCAAAGTATAACTCCAAAATAAAAATGAAATTCAAATGACACATACCTGTGTACCCTCTGATCACATCTTAGGACAATGAGAGGATCTATCATCAGGTCATTTTGAGTATACTTTTGCTGTCGTACAAACTTTATTGAAGGTTGAAGTGCATTAACTGTCATTACCCACAGCCTGATAAGAAAATAATCATATGTTCAAAAACAGCTATATTATAATTGAAACCTGGAGCCATCTAGTCCTAACTTAGAATAATACATCAGGAAAAAATTTATTAAAAGATGTGAATGAACTTGGAAAAATTAAGAACTAGAGAAATCTAACTTAGTATGATGTCTCTAAAACGAAGATAATAAACAAAAAGTGGTTTCAAAAATCCTCATAGTTATAATGGAATAATCATGGCATATAAAAGTATGAATTAAAATCTCAGCACTTTGAAAATGTATCTGGACTCATAAATCAAGTCATGGTTCCATATCATCATACTATCTCAGTGTAAGATGCCACTTTGAGATTAGACATCAGAACTATAAAAGTGATTACCAACTTGACTGCCTATTAGAATTACTGAGGGATATGTCAAAATGAAGAGTACCTGATTTCTTACAGGGAAGTCCCAGAGTTCATCAGCCCCACCTTGCACACAGACCTTGCACACTCTTACATATGAGTGGACAGCCAAGAGTCATCAGACATCGAAGGAAAACATCTAGTTTGAAAAAGATTAAAATATGCAAACAGAGGGGCGCCTGGGTGGCTCAGTCATTTGAGGGTCTGACTCTTCATTTTGGCTCATCATGATCCCAGCATCATGGAATCAAGCCCCACATCAGACTCTGTGCTGATCGTGGAGCTGCTTAAAATTCTCTCTCTCCCCACCCCCTGGCCCTCCCTTGCTCTCTCAAATAAAAATAAATAAATAAAAATTAAAAATATACAAACAGAAAGAAACTTCAAAGAAATAGAGAATGCAGGAATGAGAAATTTTTCTTAAGTCTATAATTAATATCCTTAAAGGATAGAATATTGCATATATGAAATAAGAACAGTAAGCATTTAAAAATACTCAGGTAAGAAAGAACTCTTAGGGGGCATCTGAGTGGCTCAGTCAGTTAAGTGTCCAACTTCGGCTGCAGTCATGATCTCGCAGTTGGTGGGTTCGAGCCCCGCATCAGGCTCTGTGCTGACAGCTAGCTCAGAAGGGTCAGACAGCTAGGTCAGAGGGTCTCTCTGACCCTCCCCTGCTTACGCTTGCTCTCTCTCTCAGAAATAAATAAAACATTAAAAAAAATTTTTTTAAAAAGAAAGAACTCTTAGGAATTAAGAATATAACAAAAATTTTAAACTCAAAACAAAGAGAAAATAACACTGAGAAAATATACAGAAGTATATTCAAAAGACAAATTTAAAAAGAAGAGAGAAAATTGAAAAATCAGGGGGTTTAAACCAAGAGGCTTAAAATCTAAATTACAAAAACTACAGAAAACAGAGGGAAAAAACTATTGAAGAAAAAATATATATATTAAAATGTCCTTAGAAATGAAGGCATTAAGGGTGCCTGCATGACCCAGTCAGCTGAGCATATGACTTCAACTCAGGACATGATCTCACAATTTGTGGGTTCAAGCCCCACACCATACTCTGTGCTGACAGCTCAGAGCCTGGAGCCTGCTTCAGATTCCGTGTCTCCCTCCTTCTCTCTCTGCCCATCCTCCATTTGCACTCTGTCTCTCTCTTTCTCTCTCAAAATAATAAATAAACATTAAAAAAAAAATGAAGATGAAGGCATAAGTCCCAGACTAAAAAAAGGCCAAGCACACAACACTATGAATAAAAAAGACCCACACCGAAATACACCATCATGAAATTCCAGAAAATAGAAGAAAAAAAAACACACTACAATTTAAGAGAGAAAAAACAATGGTTACATTCAAAGGAGTGGGAATTGGTATATCATTGGGTTACTTAATAGCAACAAGGGAAGCTCAACTGATTCCGTGGAACAAAGACTTCAAATTTCTGAAAGGAAAATTGAGCTAGAATTCTACACCCAGGCTAAAGAATAATCATCACATGTGATGGGAAGAATAAAAACCCCCTCACACATTCAAGTCTCAAAAAATAAATAAGTTTCCTAAACTCACTTTCTCAGGAAGCAACTTGAGTGTGCGTTCCACTCACTAAAATGAAGAACTAGTGCTCGCTTCAGCAGCACATATACTAAAATTGGAACGATACAGAGAAGATTAGCATGGCCCCTGCGCGAGGATGACACGCAAATTCGTGAAGCATTCCATATTTTTGCACTGACTGGGTGTTGTTGGAAACCAACTTGACAATAAACTATTTATTAAAAAAAATAACTAAATAAATAAAATGAGGAACTAAACCAAGACACAGAATCCAACAGAGACAAAAGCAATTCCAGGATGGCTACTGTGCATGACCCAAACTGAAAAATGAAGATGGAAAGCTATGAAAGGAATGTTTCCAAGAAAAAAATGTTACTGATATATTATTACCTGATGAGTTATAATTAATTGTAAAGTAAATTTCCCCTCAATAATGAAGTTTAGGGGTGAATTAGTAATTGATACAAAACAAAAACAGGGCGCCTGGGTGGCTTAGTCGGTTAAGCGTCTGACTTTCGCTTAGGTCATGATCTCGCGGTTCGTGGGTTCGAGCCCCGCGTCAGGCTCTGTGCTGACTGCCAGCTCAAAGCCTGGAGCCTGTTTCAGTCTGTGACTCCCTCTTTCTCTGACCCTCCCCTGTTCACGCGGTGTCTCTCTCTCTCTCTCTCTCCTAGAAATAAATAAAACATTAAAAAAAAAAACAAAGGCAAAACAAACTCCAAGCAAATGGAAGAGGGAAGTATTACTCAGGGTTTGTGTGTGATGCATACAGAAAGGCATTTGTATAAGAAGGAAATTGTAATCAAAGGGTATTACACAGGTCAACTATAAAATTAGGACTTATGTAGTCATAATTAATAGGCACACTGAATATTGCTTCAACCAAAGATTTTGATACTACTGTGCTGGGAGACATAGAGGAAGAGAAACTATGTAGTGGGGGAAGAGGAACTCATGGGGGAGGAATCAGGTAAAAGTGCTAACTCTTTATCTTGTATAGTGGAAATTCATAAGATAATTTCTAAATTGAAAGTCAGGAAATCATTGTAATTATAAGTAAGTTACTGAGATAGATGGGGAGACATAAACGCCAGAATAAAAAGGTAAAAGGGCTGAAAATAGTTGTTTTGGGGGAGCAACAGTCTAAAATGGGAAGGAATATATTATTTATGTTCTTAAGTTATGAGCATTTATCTGATATAAGTAAACATTAAATTCTAAAAGTACAGGGCCTCCTGGGGGGACTCAGTTAGTTTAAGTGTCCAACTCCTGATTTCAGTTCAGATCGTTATCTCACCGTTTACGGGATCAAGCCCTGAATCAGAGGCTGCTTGGAACTCTCTCTCTCCCTCTCTCTCTGCTCCCTACCCCCCATTTGCACGTGCACATGCACTCTCTGTCAAAATAGTAAATAAGCATTTTAAAAAAATAAAAAATAAAAAGTATAAATATTCCCAGACGTACTGAATCAAAATTTCAGGTAAGTCCAGCCCCGCACTGTTTTTACTAGGTGATTTTGGTTGTTTTTCTATTTAAACAGTACTTTTCTTGCTTTTATTTCAATTCCAGTTAATATACAGTGTAATAGTAGTTTCAGATGTACAATTTAGTAATCCAACACTCACATACAACACTCGGTGCGCATCACAACAAGTGCACTCCTTCATTCTCATCACCTATTTAGACTAGATGTTTTTGATGCAATATATGGAACAGGAGAGATTCATCTTCCTAAAGGCAAAATAATTAACCCAGTGTTCTCTAAACTTTACTGCATGCCAGAATCACTAGGGAAATCCTTAAAAAAAAAAATACTAATGGCTAACTCCCACCAACAGACCTTCTGATTTAATTGGCATAGGTTACAACTTGGGGGTTAAGGGTTTTAAACGCTCTCCAGGTGATTTTAATGTGCACCAAAATTTGAAGCTATGGCAATGGCTGGAAAACACAAGAGTGATCTAAATCACAATTAGCCACAAATGACCATACATGAGAACTCATTTTTAAAGAACTTTCTCAAGTTGGTAATACTTTAAAGTCTCTGGCGTACCTGGGTGGCTCAGTCGGTTGAGCGTCCAGCTTTGGCTCAGGTCATGATTTCATGGTTTGTGGGTTTGGGCCCCGCGTCGGGCTCTATGCTGACAGCTAGCTCAGAGACTGGAGCCTGTTTCAGATTCTGTGTGTGTGTCTCTCTCTGACCCTCTCCTGCTCATGATGTCTCTCTCTCTCTCTCTCTCATAAATAAATAAAACATTCAAAAAAAATTTTTAAAAATACTTTAAAGTTTCTCTCTGTTTCTTAAAATAAAGTTTACTCTTTCCCTTAAAGTTAAAACAGCTCTTTAATTAGTGGTCTTTAGAAATTATTTATATTGTCAGATACTCAACAATTTTTTCAACATTTAAGTTTAGGTTATTATATACAATCACTGCTATACACTTATTTATTACACGAAACAATACACTGAAATTACCTTCTAGGCATCACAGTATTAAGAACCATCCATAGTTTATTGACCGTTTGAAGAATTCGCCGTGGAACCCCTGAATTCAACAGCTGGTTCATATTGGCTGTTAATACTTCTGCATACGGTATAAGTTCACTGGCCGAGAGCAGAGTCAAGTGTTCTAGAATCTGCATCACTTGTGTGTGACTTACTGGGACAGCTGAAAATGCTAAAAGGAAAACTTAGCAGTCATGATCTACATTCTAGACAACTTACCAAATAATATTTGGTAATACTGTCCTATCAGACTACACACCACAAAAATCAAGGAAACATTGTTGCTCAAAAAGCATAAAACTTTCAATCCTGGCCATAGTGGCTATACTCAAAATAAGAGCCCTGTAAAAAATTCATATCAAGTATAGTTATATCATAAAAAAAATTTTCATTTAAAAATGTACATTAGTGATCCAAAGACAAATGTCATTTCCTTGGTGATTCAGACTAATTTAAAAAATGGACTGAAACATGAACATATAGCCAAATATTGCTCTTGGTAGTAACATTCATTAAGATTCAAGCTTCTTGATATCTTCCATCTGGGTGGCCCCCTCTATAGGATGTAAGTACCCAGCACACTGCTGTTAGTAAAAAGTATCTAGAACTATGCTTTTCAAGAGAATAGTCACTAACCACATGTGACTATTGAACACTTAAGAAATATAGCTAGTGCAAAATGAGATGTGCTGTGAATATAAAATACATACCACATTAAAAGACTTTGTATAGAAAAACAGTAAAATATTTCATTAATATTCTTATATTGATTACCTGATGAAATAATATATTAAATATACTGGAGTAACTAAATAATTATTACAATTAATTTTGCCTGTGTTTTACTCTTTTAAAGTGGCTATAGAAAGTTTAAAACTGTATATATGGCTCATATCACATTTCTACTTGACAGTGTTTGAACATTATCCAATAACAGCAAGTACATTGCTCTATTCCATAGCATTTATTTCTGACCAGTTTAGGACCTTCCTAAAACCACGTGACCTGTTTAGTGATGAACATAGAAACTATGAGAAAACAGATACAAGCATGTTAGAGAGAAATGGCTAAAACTCCTTAAACTCAAAGAAAATTACTTAAAATATATTGACCAAATATTGTTAATATACCCCAGAAAGTTTGGCAAATTCTGCATGATTTGAAGATTTCAATGAGCCTATAACATCTCTTTGTATTACAACAGGGTAAAAGCAATATCCAATTTACTATACCTTCTTGGAGTTGTTTAGGAGAGTGGTTTTTAGCATTATTGGTCAGTAGCATTCGCCTTAATAGGGCATCAGTTCCTGTGATTTCTTCTTCACAGATCCAATCATCCACAATGCATAAATGTGGGTAATTAGTTGCAAGGAGACGTAGTAAAGCAGAATGTAACCCTTGAAAATTTACAAGAAGTCAACTGGATTCTTCATTCTCAAATACCAAAATCTTCTCTCTTCCCTTACCCTTGTCCCTTTCGTTTTCAGCAGGCCAAAAGAATGTGCACTTCTTGTGCAAGCATGCTACCATTTGAGAACTTCTGTTCAGTAGTTCAGCTAGAGGTTCTACTTAAAGATCCCCAACTGATTTGATACACAAAAAGGTGGAAACTACTACTTTTATCAAAAGTTCTCAAGCCTTCTTCTACCCTATCCCAATATAAAAGTCTCCCATCAGGAAAAGTCATTTGACATAGCAATAGCTCAAGAGGGAGGAAGGAAAAGAAGGTGAAAGTCATGTCCACTGGGGGAGATTATGTACGGTTTGAAAAAGGTCTCACCAAGAAATTCTGATAGGCTTCTACAGACGAACATATGTTCTCTTCCAACCCAGTTAAGAATCACTGCTACAGATGGGTAAAATCAAAGTTGCCCCCTTGGAGTGCCTAAAAGATTTCGGGCACTCTATGCACATTTTTTCATTTCTCCCTAGCAGCCCTTCAAGTTAAGCAACATTGTCTTCATTCTACTGTAAGGAAACAGACTGAAAGACATTTTTTAAAGTTCCCAGAGTCATACAGCTAAGTATGTCAGCCAACCAAAACAGTACTGGTGATACCTACAAGACAGTGCACTGGTCTTCCTTCAAGAAGAGTTAAGGAAGCTCAAAAAGAATAAGAAACTTCTTTTACTAAATCAAAGTCTTGTTTGTAACAAGACTACGCTATGCTATGCTTATACCATAGTTTGACTATGCAGAACTATTACTGTAAAATATCAATGATAAAATAAATAATTCTACTGTACAAAATGTCTTGAATAGATACATGAAGTGCTATTATGCAAAATGGCACATAAATATTGCTGTTATTATACTATTATCATCATCCTCATCAGTGTTGTAAGAGTGTCAGTAATAGTATTAGGTGTAATAAAAGCACTTTTCATCCAATCATCTCCTTATTATGCAACTTAAATCATCATACCATTGCTTAGCTCTAGTAGAGAGTCTATCTGCTTCCTTTGTCATAGAAACTGCATAAAATTAATAATTCTATTGGCAAAAATACTGCAACAATCAAAAGTCGTATTATTTTAAAGTTTAGACATCTAAATGCACAACTACCTGTATAGTTAAGACTATCCCAAAACAGTCACAATATGAGTGATAGTGAAAATTAATCTACATTTCATAATCTCTTCAATAAAATGTTACTTGCCAACACTGTCAAATACAACATTATTTCCTTGAAAAAGATTATGCAAAGATATAAGTAAATAAATGCAGACATCTGACTAAATTATGTGACCAAAGGTCATCTTTGCTCCTGCTTGAAACCAACCATAACAAAGAAAAAGAAAACTCCAACTTCAAAGAAACAAACAAAAAACCCATACTCAAACATTATAAAGAGGGTGTTAAATTAAGAAAAAAATTGAATTTCAAAAAATATTACTATATGTCTATTTGACAGTTTTACAGTAAAAATCTGTAATTGCATGGTATGGAATACTATGGAGCAATTAAAAGCAATAAGGTAGATCTACAGGTACTGGCATAAAAGTATTTCTAAGACTCCAAGAGAAAAAAGCAAGTCTCAAAAGAGATAGGGTATAATACCATTTATAGTTTAAAAAAACATTTTTTTTTACATTTGTGTAGCTATTAGCTTCAACCATTCAAAACTATTTTTATAGGTCAAAAAAAGTTGAATACCTGCAATTTCATATGGTTCAACTTACAGAAAAAAATGGAAACCAACTGACAGAAAAAAATGTCTGAAATTACATAACGAAATAAAACAGGTTTTTGAGGAAGGGGAAATGCAAGAAGTAAGACAGGGATGTAAAGAGGAATTTCATTCCTGAATTGTTGGGACTTTTTACCACTGAGCACCTATTACACTTTATAACATTATACACAGTATGATATTTTTTTAACAAGAAACGTTAGCAGTAAAAAGCAAGCAAAACAAATACCTCCCAACTCTTGCTGCAGCCCTTGAGCCTGTCGAATAAGGAATTTGATAGGAATCTGATCCATTAAAGAAGACGAATATGATTTGGGCTTTCTTTGCATGGCAGCTGTCAAAGATAAAACGTGTAAGATAAAAACAGTGTAACAAACAACAGAAATCTTTTTTTCTTAAATAGTTTATTGTCAAGTTGGTTTCCATATAACAACAAGTGCTCATCCCCACAAGTGCCCTCTTCCATGCCCATCACTTCCCTTCCCCTCCCCCCACCCCATCTGCCCTAAATTTACAAACAACAGAAATCTTAACCTTCAACCTAAATGGAACAAATAACAACATTAAATTGCACTTCATTCACTTAATATGTGAATATACTTCACAAAGAAATAAAGAATCATTACCTAATAGTGGATACACAGGAAAAGCAAGAACATATCTAAGGGGAAGATCTGGAAAATGCCCTTAAATTGAAACTAGTAGGGAGAAAAATCGTGAGAGAAGCCACCTGTGTCTCCCTCTCTCTCTGACCCTCCCCTGCTCACGCTGTCTCTCTCTCAGGAAATAAATAAAACATTAAAAAAAAAAAAAAAGTCCATCTTAGGAGAGGCTGACTGGCTTAGTCAGTAGAACATGTGACTTTTGATCTCAGGGTTGTGAGCTGGAGCCCCACATTGGGTGTAAAGATTATTTAAAAATAAAATCTTTTTAAAAATTAAAGGGGCACCTGTGTGGCTCAGTTGGTTAAGCGTCTGACTTCAGCTCAGGTCATGATCTCATGGTTCATAGGTTTGACCCACCCATATCAGGCTCTGTGCTGAAAGCTTGGAGCCTGGAGCCTGCTTCAGATTCTGTCTCCCTTTCTCTCTGCTCCTCCCCTGTATTCTGTCTGTCTCTCTCAAAGATAAACATTTTAAAAAATTTCTTTAAGTAATAATAGATAGATAAATAAATAAATAAAACAAATCCATCTTGATTTCTCTTCTATTTATATGGTCTTAAATCAGTACCTACTCATTTATTTAAATATCTTTTACGGACCAGTTTCCCTATTTCCAATTTCTCTTTACTGCATCCTTCACATGGCTGCCACAGTCCTCTTATTTAAATACAGATTTTGCCAGATCATGTGTCTCTGGTTACCTGCTCAAAACCCTTCAGTGGATTCCTATATCCCACAGAGCAAAGGTACTTACCAATCAACACTATCTTTTTTTTTCTTTTAAGTATATTTATTTTGGGAGAATGCACATGTGCGGGCAGAGAGAGAAAACAGCAAGCAGGCTCCATGCTGACAGCACAGAGCCTGTTGTGGGCCCAATCTCATGAACCATCAAATCATGACTTGAGTCAAAATCAAGAATCAGGTGCTTAATACACTGAGCCACCCAGGTGCCCAACACTATCTTTCTTTGTCTCATCTCCATCTTATTGTATATGCCTGGCACCCTCACCTCATTCCAAGGTACTTCATTGTACACCATAGGATTGTATGATCAACAAGGATGGTCATAGTTTAACAAAGCATATGTCATATACTCACTCTTTTTCAAATACAAACCACAAAGTGTAAACTCAACAAATTTTTTTGAAGACAAGAAGTACATTAAGTTCAAGCGTTAGAGTAAAGGCTGAGAATCATTGCTTATATAGACCATATACCTCTTGATTAAACATAACCTCCCTTGTAGAGTAATAAATTAGCATCCTAGTTTTCCACACCAATTTTGTATGAATTCCATAAGAATATGTTTCAGAAGGCAGTTAAACAGAATAGGTTCCAATGACAGTCAAAACCTGGTTCCAACACTTGCTAGTGAGGGAAGTAGTCTTAGAGCAGTTAGAAAGAAAAACAAATAAAAGACATCCAAATTGGAAAGGAAGAAATAAAACTGTCACTCTTTGCAGATAACATATGAAGACTCCATCAAAAAACTGTTAGAATATGGGGCGCCTGGGTGGCTCCGTGGGTTGAGGTTCTAACTTCAGCTCAGGTCATGAGATCACAGTTGATGAGTTCAAGCTCCACATCTGGCTCTATGCCGTCAGCACAGAGCCAGCTTCAGATCCTCTGCACCCCCTCAGCCCCTCCCCTGCTCGTGCTTTCTTTTAAAAATAAACCTGTTAGAATAAGTGAATTCAGGGGCACCTGGGTGGCTCAGTCAGTTGAGTGTCTAACTCTTGATTTTGGTTCAGGTTAGGATCCCAGGGTTGTGCAGCCTGCTTAGGATTCTCTTTCTCTCCCTCTGCCTCTCTCCCCCATTTGTACTCTTTCTCTCTCTAAAATAAAGTCTACTATTAAAAAAATCAATTCAGGGGTGCCTGAGTGGCTCAGTCAGTTAAGCGTCCGACTTCGGATCAGGTCATAATCCATGGTTTGTGGGTTCGAGCCCCACATCGGGCTCTGTGCTGATTGCCAGCTCAGAGCCTGGAGCCTGTTTCAGATTCTGTATCTGCCTCTCTCTCTGACTCTCCTCTGCTCATGCTGTCTCTCTCTCTCAAAAATAAAATTTTTAAAAAATTAAAAAATAATAATAAAAAATAAAAAATAAATTCAATAAAACTGTAGGATATAAAATCAATATACAAAAATTTATTATATTTCTCTACACTAATGATGAACTATCAGAAATAGAAATTAAGAAAATAATCCCATTTATACTTACATGAAAAAGAAAAAACTTATTCATATAAGTTAAAATAAAGAGGTAAAAAACCTGAATACTGAAAACAAGACATCAATGAAATAAATTAAAGAGGACACAAATAAATATTTGTTATTTGTAATATATGGACTGCTTAGAATCAATACTATTAAAATGTCCATATCATCCAAAGCAATCTACAAATTCAGTGCAATCCCTCTCAAAATTCTGATGGCATTTTTCACAGAACTAGAACCAATCATATTAAAATTTGTATGAAACCACAAAAGACCCCAAAGCAACCGTGAGAGAGAAAAACAAAGCTAGAGGGATCATGCTTTCTGATTTTAAACTGCATGACCAAAGCTATTGTCACCAAAATAGTTTGGTATTTGCATAAAAGCAGACACACAGATCAATGGAACAGAGAGTACAGAGCCCAGAAATAAACCCATACATACATGGTCAACTGATCCACAACTAAGGAGCCAAGAATATATGAGTAAAGGATAATCTCTTCAATAAACAGTGTTGGGAAAACTGGATAGCCACATGCAAAAGAATGAAACTCAACCACCATCTAACACCACACCCAATGATTAACTCAAAATGGATTAAAGAGGGGCACCAGGGTGGCTCAGTCGGTTAAGCATCCAACTTCCGCTCAGGTCATGATCTCACAGTTTGTAGGTTTAAGCCCCGCATCAGGTTCTGTGCTGGCAGCTAGCTCAGAGCCTGGAGCCTGTTTCAGATTCTGTGTCTCCCTCTCTCTCTCTCTGACCCTCCCTGCTCATGCTGTCTCTCTCTCTCTCTCTCTCTCAGAAATAATAAAACATTTAAAAAAAAATAAAAACTAAATTTTGCTGGACATTAATTTATATAAAAAATAAGAGTGTATCTTGGTCCCTGCTACAGTGTGAATGGTCTGAATTCTCCCCCAGACCACCTCCTTGTAATTTATTCTTCTACAGTCTACTAAATCACAAGTGTCTTTTTTTTTTTAAACAGAATTTGTTACATATGGATAAAAGTAAGAGACTATTATCTATTGCTTATTATTAGCCCATCTTATGAGTAAATTGACTAAGATTATAATTACAGTTATGGGATATCATCCATATAACCCTAATGATTATAGTCAGGAAAAAAAGGAGCTGAGAAATCCATAGTATACTTAAAACCCAATACTTCAGATAAATAAAAGAAACTGATCTGCCCAACATTGAAGAGTAACTTTGATTCATAGCTTTCAAAAAGTGAATCACTCAGCAAAAAAACAGCCCTTACAAGAATTTTCCCTGCATTATATACTCAATGCCTACGGTTTTCTAATGACACTTTTCATTCAAATATGGAACTACATACACTTAGCAAGCCTAAAACACAGGTGAATTTTCTTTTTCAAATATAGAACACACTACTTCATACCAATATCTTCTATGTTAAATCTGATCTTCTCATATTAAAGTAGCTATGTTTGAAAGTCCAATTCAGTGATAATTTTAATGGCAAAATCAAACTCTTCTATTGTTTTTTTATACTGTTTTTGAATGCTTGGTATTCTTCACATTAATGGAAGGAAGGCAGGAAAAAGATTGAAATCAAGCAAAAAAACTTCAGTTACACTTCCTTAATTTATAGGTACTTAGTAGAGTCACTAAATTGCTAAAATATAGGCAATTAGGCCATTATTAATTTAGTCTGCTAAAAAGAGGAGTGAGCCTCAAGGGGTGGTTGTGTTACCATACATACATGTACTTATGCATCAAAGTATATAATGCCTACATTGCAAAGACTACAGAATGATACTGGAGTTTATTAGCATATTTGACCTTATTTTCTTATGACAGCTTGAAAGGTTAACACAGTATAAGCTAATCAAATGAACCATCACTAGAAACACTCCCCTATATACATGTACACCTTACCTAAAGTCTTCGTGTTTGCTAGGAGAGCTTCCTCATAAGACAGTATATAATAAAGCACCAAAAGCTGTGCTGTGATACTGAAACGTTGATTAAGGCGGACATTATCACCCTGGAGATAATAATATAAATACTTTAAAATATTGTTAACTTCATGAGTGCTTTTTTGATGGTAAAATCATTTAACATAGACTATTCAGTGTTACTGTTCCCAAGCTCAGATAGAATGGGAGGAACATTGCGATGGTTTGTATTAAACTCAGAGACAACTTGAAGTTTAAATCTGAGATGGTATGGAAGATGCAAGACAACATGCTTAACAGTCTTTAAGACCAAAAAAAAAAAAAAAAAAAAAAAAAAAGACTTCAGCTTTCCTCAACAGCAATTCTATCAGGCTGCTTCTGAAAAAGGTTTACTGGAGTCTTAAGTACTACCTGAAATCACCATGAAGAAAATAACTCCTAAAAAAAACATATTTTACATCTTATTTAGGAAAAATACAACCATCTCTTCCTTCTAAAAAATGGTGAAAAAAGATCTTCAAACTTCCCAACTGAATCTAAGTAGATCTTAGATTCCCAGAAAGCTAAACATTAAACCTCTGTTGAATGTACTGAAATGTCACAGAGTCCTGTGTTAAGCACACACTCTCTGGGACACTCTTTAGACTTTAAAACAGAGCTTTTTAAAAGAACTCCTCAAAAAGGGCCTCTTCAACAAAACACTCGGAACTAATACCATACCTATAAATTTCATAAGAGATATGAAGAAGTTTTATCCCATTTCAAGTTCAGAACCACCCAGAAGTCCTCCAATAATCAAAGAAATAATATGAAACAAGTCAGAAGAATAAAAGAAAAGGAAAATCAGAAAAATGTACAAGAACTACTATTTTACCCCAATGACTCCTTGGAAAATACTGAGGATCTCCTGTTCCGTGACTGGCTGATTTGTGGCTTCTGGATTAGATTTAGATGCTGGAGTAAGTATGGAATTTATGTACACGTCAATCAGAGGAAGTAATTGAGGATGGAGTGGGGTAGAAGTTTCACACAATTGTCTATAAATCCAGTCCTAAAAAAGAAGGTTATAGGCACTAAATCAATTTGGCAATAAGAAAAAGCAAGCAAAATTTAATAAGCACATACAATTTTACATGATTTATGAATCACTGAAACTATTAGCTTTTAGCAGTTATAAATACATTACCCACTTTCACAACTGTCTTTAATTTAAAAATATGAATTACTTGTTATATCCTCGTCAAGACTATTGTCCAGTGGAAGATAAATCTAAAATGATGAGTCTGGATTTTAAGTATGGACTTTGGGTTTTTAGTCTACTAGTTTTTAAGTAGTAGCAAAAATACTGTAAGTCACTACTATGTCTACATTTAGATATAGACCCCACAGTGCAGAGGAATTTAGGGAGAGGAACAGTTCTTTATAGCAAATCCTCAGATAGGTTAAGAAAATGAGTTGCCTGGGGGCGCCTGGGTGGCTTAGTCGGTTAAGCGTCCGACTTTCACTTAGGTCATGATCTCACAGTTCGTGGGTTCGAGCCCCACGTCGGGCTCTGTGCTGACTGCCAGCTCAGAGCCTGGAGCCTGTTTCAGTCTGTGACTCCCTCTCTCTCTGACCCTCCCCTGCTCACACTGTCTCTCTCTCTCTCCTAGAAATAAAAAAAAAAAAAAAAAGAAAAAGAAAATGAGTTGCCTGGGTGGGTCAGTTGGTTTAGCACCTGACTCTTGATCTCCACTCAGGTCTTGATCTTAGGGTTCTGAGTTCAAGCCCTGTGCTGGGCTCCATGCTGGGCTTGGAGTCTACTTTAAAAAAAAAAATTAAAAAAAAAAAAAGTGGCCTTGGCAAACACTTATGGGTATGGGAGACTATCACTTAACTACACATGGATAGAGGACATGTAGATATGGTGGGTGTGCGTTCAGATTCTTAATTCTTTCCTATTTCATTTATTAAAAATATAAAGCAAAAGATACAATCTACCTGGAAAATAACTTCACTAAATCATGAAAACAGGATAGTTAAAGGTAGTATATCAATACATATAGAGTTCATTATTCTTTATAAATAAAAAAGCCTCCAGAAAAGGCTCAGATTTCTTTACCTTTAGAGTTTATCCTTTTCCTTAGAAGACCTTTTAACTATTTGATCACTTCTCAGCCTTTTGGCTAAGATCAAGTGTAGAAGACCTTTTAACTATTTGATACAGCCAACTATAAGTAACTGACAATATATCGAAATATGTAATGTTTTATGTTAGCTATCTTTCTGACAAAAGTACAAATGCTGTTCATAGCTGACAAGAAACTTTCTGTTTGGTAAAGAAAACCAAAGTATAGAAAATAGCAATTTCTTACTAAGTTTTAATGAAATAGCCACAAGGTATTATTGAAAATTCAAATGTGTTAGTATCATTGTACATTTTGTCAATAACTTAAGAATTATATCTTTTTAAAAATTTGACATTAACGTCCTAGTTACTATGTATAAACGGCTAGTAATTAGGCATATTTCATACACAAAACCCACAGTAGAAGCCTATAAACTGAAGAATTAGGAAAAAAAAACATTAACTTGGGTTGTTATTTGAAATATAACTATAAGGTTATATATACTTTTATTGACACTTTGTGCTTGGTAAAGGAACGACTCCTGAGAAGCTGGTAAATACAGTGAATGGGCAAAAATCCAGTAATGTTGGCACTCAGGTTGCTGGTGACAGGGACCCGAACAGCATGAGCTGTAACAACCTAAAAGGGAAAATAGTATTAATTCATATGACAAAACCAAATATAACATTATTCTGAAACAGAGAGGATTAGCAGGTAAACTGTCAGTAGTTAATACAAATGCAGTCCTTAGGAATGAATGAGAAAAACTAATTATTACGTGATAATATTTCTGAATGATGAGGCAGCATACATTTAGGAATTTGCAAAGCACTCTTAATTTTTTAAATTTGTTTTTAGGGGCACCTGGGTGGCTTAGTCGGTTAAGCGTCCGACTTTCCCTTAAGTCATGATCTCGCGGTTCGTGGGTTCGAGCCCCGCGTCGGGCTCTGTGCTGACTGCCAGCTCAGAGCCTGGAGCCTGTTTCGGTCTGTGATTCCCTCTCTCTCTGACCCTCCCCTGCTCACACTGTCTCTCTCTCTCTCTCCTAGAAATAAATAAAATATTTAAAAAAATAAAAAAATAATAATAAATTTGTTTTTAAACACAGATAGGTTGACTGTAATGTAGTAAGATAAAAAAATCTAAAATTTGGAATCATAAAACCTGGGCTCAGTGACTTTGCATAAGTCATTTTATCTTTGGAGTCTATTTTCACATCTATAAAATGGGACAATACGGTCTTCCCTGCCTCAAAAGGTTTTTGTGAGGGAGAAAAATTGCTTTGAAAAACATATTATAAAGTATCAATTCTTTATATGTGATATAAATTCTTTATATATGATATAAATTATCACAGTGATATAAACAGAAATTTTTATTGTCATTCTCATTCTGTCATGCATAGACCTCTAATGGTTGTTCAGAAACCCTCCCCAAAGCCGTCTTCCAGTCAGTTCAAATATATACACAAAAAATAACTTATGAGTCTACTATAGACTATGTGTGTCTGTACATGGGAGTATATGTACATTGAGGAGAAAAAGAGTGTTTGTTATAGGAACAAGAATATTACCCTAAAAGAAACAACAATTATGCATCCATGAGCATTTGCAAATCTCAATTTTTAAGATAGATGTTATTTGTTATCTGAGATTTACATTAAAAATTAATCTGGGAATTAATTTTAAATTTCAGAATTGTCTCCTTTGCTGAAAAAACAAAATATCCTTAGGATTACTCATGGACAAAATAACTAAGACCAAATAAGAACATGTAAATATAAGAATAAGGAATGTAGACTCTAGCTTATAATTTAGTTAGAAATGAACATTACAGTCTAAAAGTTTAAACTGGTCTATATTTAGCTTTTCTCCTGACAAATCTAAGTGTTTTACCCTATGTGAGATCCCTACCATCAATATGTAAGGTCATACTCTTAAGTATTGCCTCAAAATCTCCAAAATATGTAAATTTAAAACATACATTTTTATGTAGTACATAGCTTTAAAAGTAGACTTAAGGGGTGCCTGGGTGGCTCAGTCAGTTAAACATCCCACTGGATTTCAGATCAGGTCATGAACTCACAGTTGTGAGTTCGAACCCCACATCAGCTCCTTGCTGGGATTCTCTTTTTTTCACTCACTCTCTTGCCCTTCCCCACCATTCTCTCTCCCTCTCTCTCAAAAAAAAGTAAACTTTAGGGGCACCTGGGTGGCTTAGTTGGTTAAGCATCCGACTTTCACTTAGGTCATGATCTCGCGGTTCGTGGGTTCAAGCCCCGCGTCGGGCTCTGTGCTGACTGCCAGCTCAGAGCCTGGAGCCTGTTTCAGAGTCTGTGTCTCCCTCTCTCATGGACCCTCCCCTGCTCACGCTGTCTATCTCTCTCTCTCCTAGAAATAAATAAAAATATTGAAAAAAAAAAAAAAAAGTAAATTTTAGGGGTCCCTGGGTGGCTCAGTCGGTTGAGCGTCTTGGACTTCAGCTCAGGTCATGATCTCACAGTTCGTGGGTTCAAGCCCTGTGTCGGGTTCTGTGCTGATAGCTAGCTCAGAGCCTGGAGCCTGTTTCAGAGTCTGTGACTCCCTCTCTCTCTGACCCTCCCCTGCTCATGCTGCCTGTCTCTCTCTCTCAAAATAATAAATAAGTAAAGCATTAAACATTTTTTTTAAAAAGTAAACTTTAAATGGGATTATTCTTTACAGAAGTTTCAGAGATTAAATAAACCATCACTGGAAACTAAAATACTATAGTATACTCTTAAACTGAGATATCCAAGTGTTCCCAAATGAATGTTGTAAAACAAAGTTAAAGAAGTACCTAAGAATAAAGTTAAAAGAAGTACCTGCTCAGTAAAAATTTCCTGTGTGAAGATAGTCTTCATCCTGCTCAAGGAGCTTGGCTTAATTACAATCTAAAATAACCAAAAACATTCTCACAGCATGTAAAAATATATGAAGCACACTTTAAATTTATTTACTTTCTAATGAATTTATCTTAAATGACTGGTATATAAAATTAATGTTCAAATACTCTATTTTAAAGTTGCTTCTCAAACCAGCATTAAAGTGTGTTTTTCCTCAGACACTGAACCAACATATAAAATACTTAGTAATATTACTATCAGCATTTCAAGTAAGTGGGAAGAAATGGATTATTCAATAAATGAAGGTGAAATAGCTACCTTTCTGGGGAATTAATATACATATAAATATATTTATATATAATATATATATCTGCACACACGATGCCATACCCAAAATAAAATCCAAGTGTACTAAAGATTTAAATCTGAAACATGAAGCCACAAAAGCAAGGAAAGAAAATATAGGTGACCATTTCTTTAAACCTGAAAAGAAAAACATATTTCTCTTTTTTTTTTTTCATCTTTTTAAAATTCTTTTTATTTTAGAGCACCTGGGTGGCTTAGTTGGTTAAGCATCTGACTCTTGATCTTGACTCAGTTATGATCTCATGTTTCATAAGACTGAGCCCCATGTTGGGCCCTGTGCTGACAGCATGGAGCCTGCTTGGGATTCTATCTCTCCCTCTGTCTCTGGCCCTCCCCTTCTCGCGCTCTCTCTCTCAAAATAAATAAATCAACTTTAAACAATTTTTTTTTCTTTAAGTAATCTCTATGCCCAACATGGGACTCCCAACTCACAAATCTGAGGTTAAGAATCACATGTTCTACCTATTGAGCCAGGCAGGTGCCTCCCTCCTGTTTTTAAATTTATTTCTTTAATTCTTTTTTTTAAGGTAAACATTTCTAAGTGTAACAGCAAAGTAAGAACCATATAAGAAATACAAAATACACTACACACACATAAAAAGTAATTTCCACATGGCGCAAAAGACTAAGAAGAATCAACTACAACATACTGTACTTCTCCACTTTTGAAGACACTAAGGAGTATGAGATACACTGATGTAATAGTAACTTACCAAGAAAAAGAAGGAGGGGAGGAAGAGAATACTACCATATTACCAATACAGTCAACTGTGAAATAAAGCCCAATTTTGATACTGGGTAAATACGTGTCTTGAGATGAATGAAATATTATATAAGGCATAATGGCATATCATTTATACATGAAGAGTCCTTTTGAATCAGTGAAAGGAAAAATAAACCAATAATAATCCCTATAGGAAAATTAGGATAATGATAAGCCTTTTCACAGAAGAAATGAACCAGCCAAAACATAAGAGACTTTTTAAACTACCTAAAAAGAAACCCCCACTATAAGCTGTAACTATAAAAAAATTAATTAAAACTACCACTTTGGGTGTCCTGGCTGACTCCTTCGGTAGAGTGTATGATTCTTAATCTCAGGGTTAGGAGTTCGATCCCTACATAAGCATGGAGCCTACTTAAAAAAATAAGTGAAAATAAAAATCTTTTCGAGGCACCTGGGTGGCTGAGTCAGTTAAGCGTCCAACTTTGGCTCAGGTCATGATCTCGCTGCTTGTGGGTTCGAGCCCCACATCGGGCTCTGTGCCGACAGCTCAGAGCCTGGAGGATGTTCCAGATTCTGTTTTTCCCTCTTTATCTCCCCGTGCCCTACTCACACTCTGTCTCTCTCTCTCTCAAAAATAAAAATAAACATTAAAAAAGTTAATTAAAAAAATCTTTAAAAAATACAAAAACCACAGTTTCATTGGTAATTGATGAAATGCAAAGTAAGTAGAACCATCTTTCATCAATCAAATTTGTAAAGATTAAAAAGAACGGTAACACCCAGTGATGGTGAGAGTCCAGGTAACTGGCACTTTCATGCACTAATGAGAAGAGTTAATCTTTCCATAAGGTAATCTGGCAATTAACTTAACATCATTAAGTTCTTTTAGTTAGTAACTGCTATAACTTTTTCGTAAGGAGATTATCCAAAAACTTTTTAAAGGGGGTGCCTAGCTGGTTCAATCTGTAGAGTATGCGACTCTTGATCTTGAGGTTGTTGAGTTCAAGCCCCAGACTGGATATAGAGATTACTTAAAAAACAACTGTTTAAAGATAAGTATGTGTGAGTGCCTGTGTATGCATTTACATAAATAAGGATAATCATCTAAGCACTATTCAGAAAGTAAGAAAATCTACACGGCAAATAAGAAAGAATCCATTAAGAAAGTCTTGATTTGTCCATATGATGGACTACTATGCAGTCAAAAATAAAAATTATATTGAATTAGAACATTTTTTTGATATGAGAATGTTAATAGTAGTACGCTTCATATCTTGAAAAATGAAGTTATATTCTTCCTTTGTGTATTCCCCGCTTTCTATGTTGAACATCTATTATTCTTGTAAATAAATGTTTTCAAAGCATATATTTCTTCCTCATAAAATTCCAAACTATTAAACTAAAATTACTTCAAAATGGAAACAAAATGTACTGCACACTATAAGAAAATGCCCTGCTTAGAAACACCTTCCTTAGAAAGAAGATAGAAGAAAATTACCTTCATCCCCAAAGTGGAACAGACCAAGTCAATGATAGCACTAAGCTGGTTGCTGTGAAAGTACATAGCAACCAATAACAACATCTCCCCAAAAGAAGCAGAGACACCAGATGTACTGTTGAAACAAAAGAAAAAACATGAATTTCCAAAGAGAAGATAAGAAAAACTTAATAACTGAAACAAATGGAGTCACCTTACCTTTCAAAATAAGCTTCTTCTTTTATCATCCAACTGAGCCACACTACCATCAGCTGCTCCTGTTCAGGTGTACTACACACAACATAAGAGAAAGTCACTGGTTTATCAGATATACTAGCATAGGAATGAGAAAGCATCCTGGAATTATTTTTAGTATTCTTTTTTCCTTCTCTATTTTGAAATATCAGTTCAAATTAACTGCTTGTTGAAATGCCCATTAACTATCACTGAAATATGAAGTAGTTCCAGAGATGAATAAGGGCCTTTGCTTTTCTTTATGAATGCAAATAGTCAAACCCTCCTGAGGTTTTAATTACTGCATTTACAAGTTGGAGAGAGTGAACTTCCTCTCATTTGTTTGAAAAGCAAAGACTTTTGGGATTAAAATGTTAGAAGAACTGCATTTTTTAAAAAAATTTTTAATGTGTTTTTATTTATTTCTGAGAGAGAGACAGACAACATGAGCAGGGGAGGGTCAGAGAAAGAAGGAGACACAGAATCTGAAGCAGACTCCAGGCTCTGAGCTAGCTGTCAGCACAGAGCCTGATGCGGGGCTCAAACCCATGAACCATGAGATTATGACCTGAGTCGAAGTCAGACGCTTAACTGACTGAGCCACCCAGGCGCCCCTAGAAGAACTGCATTAACAACTGCTATTTCATACAGAAAAAATCTAGTGTCAAAACAATCATCAAAAAATCACAAACTGAGTATGACATCAGTAATGAGGTAAGTAAAATTTAATTTTGAGAAACATTTTAAGCAGAGGAATGCCTGGGTGGCTCAGTTGGTTGACCATCTGATTCTTGATTTCAAGTCAGGTCATTGAGTCCCACATCAGACTCTGCACTGAGCATAGAGCCTGCTTGAAATTCTCTCTCTTCTCCTGCCCCTCTCCCCTGCTTGAATTTTCTCTTTCTAATAAATAAAATGAAAAAAAATTTTTTTGTAAAAGGAAACATTTTGAGCAGAACTCAAAATTATACAGAAATAAAGTGATCTCTATTAAAAAAAAGAAAAAGAAGAAAGAATGGGCTTATGAGATACAAAAACCGATTATGAAAACATACCAACAATGATTTTTTAGAGGGGAATTTCTAGACTTACATCGAAAGGTTCAACTCAACTTTGACTTGTGAAAATTGATTTTCTTCTACTTCATTGCAGTGTAAATGGGTAAAAGAAAAGCAACTGAAAAGCCTGCTAAACCAAACTAAGAAAATTTAAAAGATGATTCTCAACTATACCTAACTCATTGCCCTAATAAAAGACAGTGTTATGTAGTAGAAAGATAATAGCTTTTAGAGCATGGCGGGCCTCAGTCCTATTTCTGTTAATTACTGCTAATGTGATCTCAAACAAGAAATTTAATGATCCTTCTGAACTTTAGCTCTCCTACCCAAAAATACAGATTAAAAAAGTCACCTTCTAAAAGTAATGAAGATTAGAGATAATGTTTAGAAATTAAGAAAAGAGAAAAGGAAGCACTTTATTTTATTACCTAACTTCACACCCTCCTAAAACTCCAAACTACATTAAAGGGATTTTCCTAAAACGGTATAAATGCATAAGATGATGATGATGAACACCACCAATACTGGAAACAAGAGCATATATGGAAGACTGGTAAATGATTCAGCAGACCCAAGAAAGCAGAATACTCTACTGGCAGGAAGGAAAAGCCAATTCACTTTATACCACAGAATCTCCAAAGAGCTTAGGAACTGACAGCTCCAGGCAGTTCTGGGAGGGAAAGTAAAGACAGAGCCTAAATTAAACAGGTCAACAGTCTATATAAGTAGTAGACCTCCAGATAGCCTCCATTTTACACAATGAGACGGATCCCCATCCCCCAGCAGAGAGACAACTGGAGATTAATGCTCTGGAGATGGTAAAAGGAGTAGTCTCTGAACTGAGGAACAACCAGGGATATCTGGAGCACCATTTGAAAAATAGAATTAAGTGAATGATTATACTACAAGCTTAGCTCACCTAACCCTCACTTTTTAACTTTGCTTATGGGTTCTTATCAGACCTTTACTCTCCAATCAAGACAAAAGTCTCCTCTAAGAATCCTTAAGTCTAAGAGTTTCCCAAAGAGCTACTTATGCATTAAACGATTCTAATCTGCTTGTTAGTTTAATAACAAATAAATTATATTTATATTTAAATATAAACAACCAATAAATATCAAACCCCTGGGGCACCTGGCTGGCTCAGTCATTACAGCATGTGACTCTTTTTTTTTTTTTTTAAAGACTTTACAAATAGTTTATTGTCTAATTAGCTTCCACATAACACCCAGTGCTCATCCCCACTAGTGCCCTCCTCCATGCCCATCCCCCCACCCCCCCACATCCATCAGTCCTCAGTTTTTGTCAGCATTCAAGAGTCTCTCATGGTTTGCCTCTCTCCCTTTCCCCTACCATTTCCCCCCTTCTTCTCCCCCTTGTTCCTCAGTGAAGTTCCTCCTAATCCTCCTATACGTGCAAACATATGATATTTGTCCTTCTCTGCCTGACTTATTTCGCTCAGCATAACACCCTCAAGGTCCATCCATGTTGCTACACATGGCCAGATTTCATTGTTTCTCATTGCCATGTAGTATTCCATGGTATAGATAAACCACATGTTCTTGATCCATTCATCAGTTGATGGACACTTAGGCTCTTTCCATGTTTTAGCTATTGTAGAGAGTGTACAGCATGTGACTCTTGATCTGAGCCGTGGGAGGGAGGGAGGGAAGGAAGGAAGGAGGGAAGGAAGGAAGGAAGGAAGGAAGGAAGGAAGGAAGGAAGGAAGGAAGAGGGAGAGAGGGAGGGAGGCAGGAAGGGAAGAAGAAAGGAGGAGGGAGGGAGAGAAAGAAAGAAAGAAGACAGACAGAAAGAAACAAAGAAAGAAAGAAAGAAAAAAAGAGAATAGAGAATTATCAAACTCTTAAAAAGGTTTCTAATTTGAAAAACAGAGACCATAAAAGAGCAGAAAAAAAAATTAGAAAAAAAGAGTACTAATAAATTCTCTTCAGTCATTATGATTAGTATCAGAGAAATCATGCCACTGTGAAGCTACTATACAGAAGAAATAGCAGAGAACAAAAAAGAGCTCTTAGATATCAAAAGTACAGAGGATTAGAAGTTGAAAATAAATCCTAGAAGGTAGAACAAATGGTATCTTTTCAAAGTACGAAAAATGTTCCAAAATTTTTTTTTTAACATTTATTCACTTTTGTGAGACAGAAAGTCACAGAGTGTAAGTGGTGGAGGGACAGAGAGAGAGAGGGAGATACAGAATCCCAAGCAGGCTCCAGGCTCCCAGCTGTTAGCACAGAGCCTGACATGAGGCCCAAACCCATGGACCACAAGATGACTGAGCCACCGAGGCGCCCTAAAAATGTTCTAAAATTTAGATTGGGGTTATGGTTGTACAACTTTGTAAATACACTTAAATCTGTTAAATTGTACACGTTCACGTTAAAATGGTCGGGTGCCTGGGTGGCTCAGTCAGTTAAGCATCCGACTTCAGCTCAGGTCATGATCTCACAGTTTGTAAGTTTGAGTCCTGCATCAGGTTCTGTCCTGACAGCTCAGAGCCTGGTGCCTACTTTGGATTCTGTGTCTCCTTCTCTCTCTGCCCTCCCCACCTGTGCTCTATCTCTCTGTCTCTCAAAAATAAATAAATGTAAAAGAAATATTTAAAAAAATGGTATGTAAATGGTCTTTCAATAAAGCTGTTTTTTAAAAGAGGAGAACAAGACGAAGATAAGGAAAACAGGAAAGGGTAAGAAAATAAGATAATCATTTAAGGAAGTCCAATATCCAAAAAAGAGAAGTTTTGGACAGGAAAAAAAGAGTCTTTTGGAACATTACCAACAAATTAGTTTGAGAAAATTTCCTAGAACTGAAGGACATGAGTTTCCAGGTTCAAAGGGTTTACTGAATATCTATGATAATAGACAAAAAGAGACCCCCACTAAGGCTTATCATCCAAAAATTTCAAAACCCTACAGACAAAAAAAGTTAATCCTCCATGTTTCCATATTTAAAAAAAAAAAAACAGGCTACATAAAAACCAAGAATCAGAATGTCATCAGATTTCTCAACAGCAACACTGGAAGTCAGAAGACAAGGAATGGAACAAGACTTTCAAAATTCTCAAAGGAAATTATTTCCAGCTTCGGGTCCTAAACCCTATGAAAGTTAATCATGTACCAAAGTAGAATAAAGACATTGTCCGAATACCCAGTCTCAAAATAACTGACCTGCCACATACTCATTCTAAAGAAGCAAAATGAGAAAACAATTAAAAGAAGAACATATGAGGGGCGCCTGGGTGGCTTAGTCGGTTAAGCGTCCGACTTTCGCTTAGGTCATGATCTCGCGGTTCGTGGGTTCGAGCCCCGCGTCGGGCTCTGTGCTGACTGCCAGCTCAGAGCCTGGAGCCTGTTTCAGTCTGTGACTCCCTCTCTCTCTGACCCTCCCCTGCTCACGCTGTCTCTCTCTCTCTCTCGTCGAAATAAATAAAACATTAAAAAAAAAAAAAAGAAGAACATATGAGATGCAGGAAACAGGAAATCCAAAAAAGGAGACGTGAAGCAAGTCCTGAAAATAATAACGAAGAGCAATTCCAGGATCAGAGCTGTGTACCAGATGCAGAGGTAACCAGTGCAGACTGGAGCCATTTAGGAGGAGAGATTTCCTTAAGAAATACCTTGAGAGGTATTCTTGGAAATACCTTAGGGAACGTCTTGGGAGGAGGTTAAGATTGGTAGAGTTTGAGGTTGCATTAACCTAAGTACACAGAATAAAAAGCAAATGAAAACAAACGAAATACAGGAAAATCATTAATGCAAAAAGCAAGTTTTGCAGAAGAAGAGTAATTATCTACTACATGGCTGAGCTCTCAATAGTATTATATGAACAACTATATGTTTGTCAAAACAAAATTGCAATATAACTGTACTGGGAGAATGGGAAGATGGGACGGGCATGTAGACGTGGTGGAAGGAAAAGAAGAAAGAGAATTAATTCTTCATCTTTCATAGTAGGAAAAATGATCAATAATTAACTATTATTCCCAAAATTGAAAAATCAAAGTATAACAAATACAAACATGTTATTTAAAGATGTGGAAGTAAAAAAACAAAAGAATTTGCTAAAAGAACCGAAAGAAGTTGCCTTGAGGGCAGGGGAAACAGGAAGTAAGGGAATTTGCCTTAACAAATGTTGAAGAACTACTATGACTCTTTTACCGGCATACAATAGATGCTACTGACTAAAAGATAATACCACTGTCCATACCTAGACCAATTTTTTTCAGTAAGCTCCTAATTAATGCTATACATGCATTTTAATAAGCAAACACAAGAAGACCTTCAGAAAACAGAGCAACCTCAATAGTAAGGTACCTGACAAGTGTAGAAAAGGCCAGTAGCATACAAAAGGAAAGCGAAACAAAGCGAACCCCAGCCGGTGTAGCAGGAGGACGGCTTGTCATCAACTGCAGTAATTGCTCAGCTTCTTCCTCAGTTGGTCTAAAAAATGAATGTATTATTAGGCTTTACTCTTCTTAGTTCAGAAAGGAAGGAAGAAAAAGGGACTTCCCAAACAGTTTAACTTTTCAGATATGAATTCTGAGCTTTATAATGATACTTCATATTTATAAAATCTTTACTATCTTAAGTCATTAAAAGCAAAACTGTTGAGCTTACAACCAGTGCTTTTCCTCAGACACAAATACACACAGTCCTCACTTGGCACAGTAGCATGGGACGATAAAAACAACCACGCAGGGGTGCTGGCTGGCTTAGTCAGTTAAGCGCCTGACTCCTGATTTCAGCTCAGGTCATGATCTCATGGTTTGTGAGTTCAGGCCCTGCATCAGACTCCACATTGATAGTACGGAGCCTGCTTGGGATTTCTTTCTCTCTCTCCCTCTCTTTCTCTGCCCCTACCCTGTTCGCTCTCACTCACATTTTCTCTCTAAAATAAATAAACTTCAAAAAAAGTGTAAAAAAATATAAGAAAATAAAATTTGTTAAAACATTAGAAACCTCCTGTCAGTCATAGTTCATAAGGAAATGGAAAAAACAGCAAAGTAATACTTACATAGCACTCTATAATTGAAAATATTATAAACACTGGGAATTAAAAGTGTTTTTCTTTGTAAAAAAATTTGTCATTAGTTTGAAAAGCCCTTGCCTTCTTCTCATTATATGTCTTATAATGTGGAGTGAACCTCTTTCTTAATCCTTGATTAACTGTGATACCCCTTTTTAAGTTTGGATCAGATTCCAACATTTTATTCTTTGTATGTTCAGTCATGAAAAATCTGAGAGTTCCTTTAACGTGAATATTTTTGCCAGCATCACTTCCTCCGGGACTTCATTCTTTTTCCACAATGACTTTCTTCATTCATGTTGACAAGGGCACCTTCACTAAGTTCATCAGATACATATCTAGTGTTTCTCAAATGGCAGCAGTGTTAACATCTTCACAGGCAGCTTTTTCTCTTTATGTTTAGTTCAAATGTCACTTTCAGTATTACCACCTTTTACTTCCTTGCTACACTTTCATCTCTCTTGGCTGATTCCTTCTTTCAATTCTTTTTGTCTAATGACACGAGAGACAAGGTGTCTCTGACAGACAAGGTGACAGTACAACTATGCATTTTGTGGTTTGGTCACCAACTGAATAACAGATTGGCAGTGACCAGTCTCCAAAACTGTAAATGACATGATGTGACTAGTCACTGATCATGATGTACATCTGTTATTTACATAATGATTTGGGCTTGAAGAGCTCTCAGTAAAATTTGTACTTTATACAATTATTTGGTTAATGTATCATAGCAACTGATAACATTAGTTGTTGAGGGAGCAGTGTTATTTAACTAAGCCAACACTAAGTGTGGTAAGTGAAATTCAGATTTATAAGAGACATTCAAAGCGAGGACTGTACATTTAACAGTTGAGGACATTACCCAAAAGGATGTATTGCGTTGACTAACTAAGAAACCTTGTTCTTAACAATCACAACATATCAATTTTAAATAATTTATGATCTCAGTTGTGAAAAGAAACACAGGAGAGGAGAGATTTACTTCAACTAGCTGCATGGGCTAGGTAACGCATCACTCACAGATCATTCACAATAGTCATGTCAAGCTGTGGTAAAGTCATACATTTCTTAAACTGCTCTGGCCCCTCCATATTCATATATTTCTATTTACAATCCAATAAAAATAGATGGATACATCCCACTGAGGAATGTTTTTGATATAAAGACTTCATTCTTGATAGAAGCCAGCACGCTATCTAAGACCATTAGAAAACCCAAATCCTCTGAATAAAAGGCCTTTGGCTCACTTTCTTGGGATTAGAAACAAGAAAGTAAAACAATAAAAAGGTAAAAAATCAAATTATTGAATACTTGAGTCCAGCGATCCCCATCAAAGCACAGTACAGACGTAAGAGTGCACTGGCTTTCACAACATGCTCTTCTTTCAGCCCCGAATACACAGACACATTGGGCTCCATCTCCACATCAGCTTCTTCCACAATGCGGGTACTTCTTACTGTGGGAAGAATGCCCATCAACTCCAGAAGAAGCTGCCTTCTCATTTGCCAAAGGACAGAACTACTGGTCTCTCTTTTTCTCTGTAAAAAATATAGAGCATGGAGTACTTACTAAATCAAAAGGACACACAAAGTTCCTCAGTTAAACATTTGAAATTGATCCTTTTGAAAAGGCTGTCATAACTGTAGAATCTCATTTTAACCCACTGATTAAAAACTCAAAATTCAAAAAAAATTTTTCAAAAAAAAAATTCCCTCAAAATTCACTGATTCATTTGAAGAACACTCTATTCACACTAACCCAGATCGACTATACAGAAAACAATAAATTAATGACGATACGAACTGTAAAATGTTATTTAAATACTTTCAAATACATAATGACTAACAGAGTCATATGTGATATAGTAGAAAGTGTTCACATTTTGGAGACAGAACATCTTGGGTTTAAACAAAGCTTTGCTATTGACTATGTACACTTACCTCTCTGAACTCCAGTTTCCTTAATGACAAGGAAGTGAATATTTTATTAATAATATTTAACTCCTGGGGTGCCTGGGTGCCTCAGTAGGCTGAACGTCTGACTCAGTTTCAGCTTAGGTCATGATCTCACAGTTCACAATCAGCTCTGAGAGACAACATGGAGCCTGCTTGGCTTTTTCTCTCTCCCTCTCTCTCTGCCCCTCTCCCACTGGCTCTCTCTCTCTCAAAATAAATAAATAAACTTTAAAAAATAATAATAGTAATAGTTAACTCCCAGGGCTGTTGTAATTAGGCGTTTACAAGTCTATCACCCTAACAGTTCTTCCGGCAGGGATAACATCCTAGTCATCTATCACCTGACAGAGTCTAACACTGGGCCCGACACACAGCAAGCATGCAATATCCACTAAATGGATGAATGAATGAACAAAGATAACACATATGAAAGCAGTTCTAAACTGTAAAGAACTAGGCAAATATCAGTTATTACTTTTAAAATGGTTCTAAGTAAAATATGATAAACCTGGTTTAATAACATTAGCTTCAAATAAGAAAAATTTACTGCACACAAAGGGTAATCACGAGATGAACACACCAAAGTGCTTAACACAGTGCATACAGAAGGCACGCAGTAAATGTTGACTTCTCCTTAGAAAGCAAGGCTGAAAATTCGTTCTCGAATGGGCTAAAAATAAAGTAGAACTTGTTTATAGAAAAGTATGGTGAGCCAGCATCATAAAAAAATAGGCTAGAGGGAGCACCTGCGTGGCTTAGTCAATTAACTGTCTGACTCAATTTTAGCTCTGGTCATGATCTCACAGTTTTTGAGTTTGAGCCCTGTGTTGGGCTCTGCACTGATGGCTTGGGATTCTCTCTCTGCCTCTCTCTTTCAAAAGAAATAAATAAACTTAAAAAAAAAAAAAAAAAGCTGGAGGACTAAGCAGTACACATGCTACTTCACTGACTTCAACAAGAAAAAATCAGTCTACATAGGTTCTTTCATAGGGACTCTACTGACGGAGTTACCATGAAATGTTCTTTGAAAAAGTAAAATAATTTGCAACTTAAAAACTGTTGCAAAATATAACATATTCATCAATAGATGAGTGAATGAATAAAATGTAGCACATACAAACAGTGGAATATAATTCACCTTTGAAAAAGAAACAAATCCTGATACATGCTATAACATGCATGGACTTTGAAAACATTATAAGTAACATAAGCCAAACTTAAAAAGAGAAATAGGGTGTGACTCCACTTATATGAGGTACCTACAATAGTCAAATTCATAGAGGTAGAAAGAAGTTACCAGGGGCTGGAAGAAAGGAGAAATGGGGAATTATTGTTTAATAGGTATAGAGTTTCTGTTAGAGATGAAGAAAAAGTTCTGAAAATGAAGAGTGGTTATGGCTGCAATATATTGTGAATGTACTTAATGAGACTGAACTATACACTTAAAAATGATTAAAACAGTAAATTTTATGTTATGTATATTTTACCACAATAAAAAAGATACATATTAAAATTATAGGCTATAATGACAATTTATTTTGATGACCTATTCTCACAGATCTGTCCCAGAATCCTAGAGATTCCCAAATCTCTTTCAGAAGGTCGAGGTAAAAAAAAAAAAAAAATCTCCTTAAACATTATTTGCCTTTTCGACCCTCATTTTCTCACAGGCATACAATGCAGTTTTCCAAAGTTTTGACTAAGCCAGACATTCAACGGATTTGCAGAAACGAAAAATAATACAACTCTTCTCATTAAATGTTTTTAAAATATGGTTATTTTTCATTAAAAATATGTTCACATTTAATAGGGTCATTATTTTTTAAAATAGAGTTATTCTTACCATTTTTAAAGAGTTAGGTAAATATTTCAAAATCTTCAGTTTTGTTTATAATATGGTATATATCAATAGGTAAAAAGCATGTAATAAGTAAAAGCTCTTTGGGGATGCCTGGGTGGCTCAGTAGGTTAAGCATCCAACTCTGGCTCAGGTCATGATCTCGCAGTTCATGGGTTCGAGCCCCATGTCAGGCTCTGTGCTGACAGCTAGCTCAGAGCCTGGAGGCTCTCTTCGGATTCTGTGTCTCCCTCTCTCTCTGACCCTCCCCTGCTTGTGCTGTCTCTCTCTGTCTCTCAAAAATAAATAAAAACAGGGGCGCCTGGGTGGCTTAGTCGGTTAAGCATCCGACTTTCGCCTGGATCATGATCTCGCGGTTCGTGGGTTCGAGCCCCGCGTCGGGCTCTGTGCTGACTGCCAGCTCAGAGCCTCGAGCCTGTTTCTGTCTGTGACTCCCTCTCTCTCTGACCCTCCCCTGCTCACGCTGTCTCTCTCGCTCTCTCTCTCCTAGAAATTTAAAAAATAAATAAATAAATAAATGAAAACATTAAAAAAAATTATTTTATAAAAGCTCTTTGGTACCTTCAATGATTTAAAATGTCAGGAGGTCCTAAAACCAAAAGTATAAGAACCATTGGTGTAATGACATCATTCCAAAAGGGTTTCTTCCCCTTTTAATAGTTGCCAAAATATTCTGATTCTTAGCCTATAAATATTTTTAATCCCTCACCTGCTGTCCATTTCGGATAAAAGTTCCAAACCAAGTCCGGACTTTTGCATTTGTTCCAAGAAGCAAACCACTAACGAAACAAACCAAGTCACTCACTCCATCTTCACTAGCTTCGTTTTTAGTATGATCCAATGTCAAAGCCACTCCAAGGCCTGGCAAGTGACATTCTTCCACCTAACACAGCAAAGAAAACAAAATGAACTCAGTCTCGTAAGGAAAAGGGCCAGCCACTTCAGAGTTCTAAAGTTTAGAAGAAGACATATCACAAAACAAAAACCCAGAGAGGAAAGTAATAACATATCTAGTATATAATTCCAAATCACTACAAGAGTCTCAAACCATCTTAGGAAAGTTCCTAGTCATAATACAAAGGCTTTTGTCTTATTAAAATAATATCTCTTACCACCATGCCTCGGACCTTGAGGGCCTGAGAAGGATTCATTTTACACAAGCAGCGTAGGGCTTCTGTCCTGCGCCTTCCTCCAAGACTCTCCTCATCTTGTCGTTCTCCATTTTTTATGAGACCCCTACAAACTGAACATTTAATAGCCTCTATTACTTTAAGCTTTTAAGTAGAATGTTAAAAATCTCTTCAGTCTTTGAATTAATCATTTATGCAGAATAGACACTACAGAAGAAAATGATCAGGGAATTTGAAAGCATAGCAAAAGAAACTGGTCAAAATAAAGCAAAGAGGGAACTGGACTTAAAAAATGAACAGTGACCTGTGGGGCAATATCAAGTACTCAAATATAATTAGTGTCTCAGAAAGAAAAAGAGAATAGAAGACAAAAATATATTTGAAGAAATTTTTCTGAATTTGACAAAAACTATAAAACCATAAGCTTAATATACTTCAAGCAGGATAATCACAAAGAAATAATATTGAGATCCATCATAAGCAAATTTCTGAAAACAGTGGAAAAGAGAGAATCTTAAAAGCAGCCACAAAGAAAAAACAAATAAAAGCAGCCAGAGGAAAACAGAAACATTATATACAGAGGAACAGAAATCAAAACTACCACAGACAACAGAACATCTTTAAAGATTCTTAAAGAGCTAAAAGAAGGGGGTTCCCGTGGCTCAGTTGGTTAAGCATCCAACTTCAACTCAGGTCATGATCTCATGGTTTGTGGATTCAAGCCCCACATCAGGCTCTGTGCTGACAGCTCAGCTGTCTGTCTCTCTCTCTCTCTCAAAAATAAATATTTTTATTTTATTATTAATTTTTTAATGTTTTATTTATTTCTGAGAGAGAGAGAGAGAGAGAGAGAGAGAAAGAAAGAGAGAGAGCCGGGAAGGGTCAGAGAGAGACGGAGACACAGAATCTGAAACAGGCTCCAGGCTCTGAGCTGGGAGTCAGCACGGAGTCTGACGCAGGGCTCGAACCCCACGAGATCAGGACCTGAGCAGAAGTTGGACGCTTAACCAACTGAGCCACCTCAGCACCCCAAAAATAAATATTTTTTAAAAAGTTAAACCCAATAACAATAAACAAATACAAATGCCAAGAAAATAATTAAGCAAAGACATAAAGCTAATATGAGAGTAGTTGAGATTAAATGGAATCCTAAAAAAAAATTTCAATCCAAATGAAGAAAGGAAAAGAGGAAAAGGAAGCAAATGGCAAGATAATACACTTAAATTTAACCACCACAATAATCACATTAAATGATTATCACAATAATCTATATAAATGGTCTAAATACCCCAATTTAAAAGTGAAGACTGCAACTAAGTTTTTTTAAAAAACAAGATTCAACTATACTTGTCTACAAGTAACCCACCTTAAAGATACAGGTTTTTTAAGAAGGTGGATGTTATATACCATACAAACACTAATTGTAAGCTGCTATGTCTGTATTAATAAAGTACACTTCAAAAGAAGGTATATTACTAGGGATAAAGAAGAATATTTCATAGTGAAAAAGAAAAAGGCTCAATTCATCATAATGATATAACTATCCTAAATGTACATGGCTTCAAAATTAATGAAGCGGGGCTTCTGGGTGACTCAGTTGGTTGAGCATCAGACTCTTGACTTCATCTCAGATCATGGGCCCAGAGTGGTGGGACTGAGTCACACACCAGGCTCCATGCTGGGCTCTGTGCTGAGTGTGGAGCCTGCTTAAGATTTTTTCTCTCCTGAGCACCTAGGTGGCTCTGTTGTTCAGCATCTGACTTCAGCTCAGGTAACAATCTCACAGTTCTTGAGTTTGAGTCCCACATGGGGTAAGCCTGTACCCCACTTCAGGTGAGCTGGAGCCCTGCTTCAGGGGAACACAAGGCCTGCTTTGGGTGAGTCCCGCTTCTCTCTCTCTCTCTCTCTGCCTTTACTCCTCCTGGGATTCTCTCTGTCTCTGTCTTTCTCTGCTCCTCGCTCAATTGAACCCTTTCTCTCTAAAAACAAGATTCTCTCTCTCTGTTCCTCCCCAGCTCGCTCTCTCTCTCTCTCTCTCTCTCACACACACACACACACACACTTTCTCTCTCTCAAAACAAAACATAAATTAAAAAAAAAATTATAAAAAAATTATTTTATTTCTGAGAGAGAGAGAGCGTGAGCAGGGGAGGGTCAGAGACAGAGGGAGACACAGAATCCAAAACAGTCTCCAGGCTCTGAGCTGGCTGTCAGCACAGCGTCCGACACGGGGCTCGAACCTTCGAACCATGAGATCATGACCTGAGCCAAAGTTGGACACTTAACTGACTGAGCCACCCAGCCGCCCCATAAAATAAATAATTTTAAAAATATTTTAAAAATCAAAAAAACTTAATGAAGCAAAAACTAACAAGATGAAAGGAGAACTAGACAAATCTACAATTATGTTTGGAGACATCAACATTCCTCTCTTGGTAAGTGATAGAATGTGTAGACAGAAAATCACCAAAAACACACTTTTTACAAAGAACTTTTACATATCTTGTGATATATTCAATAAATCTCTTAGAAACATAAGAGAGGGCCACCTGGATGGCTCAGTCACTTAAGCATCTGACTTTGACTCAGGTCATGATCTCACCCTGCATCAAGGTCTCTTCTGTCAGCATAGGGCCAGCTTTGGATCTACAGTCCCCCTCTCTCTCTGCCCCTCCCCTGCTTGCGTGTCTCTCTCTCTCAAAAATAAACAAACATAAAAAAAAAAAAAGAAATGTAAGGGAAATATTATTAATATCTCATTTTATAGATAAGAAGTATCTTGATGGTGATTACACAATAAGTGAGTGACAAAACTAGAAATTCTATCTGCCAGATCCAAGGCTTTTTCCTCTTTGGCTCCCAATTCACAACCTTGCTCAATGAATGTCTTTATTTTAATACCACACAGACCCAAACAACAATGTTCAATCAGTAGTAGTTTGAAACAGAGGTGAAAATTTCAGTTGATTTTAATTTTGACTCTATCCTTTTCTGCAAATTGACAGTAATAGGGCTTAAAAAAAGGGGGGGGAGGGGGAGTTGACTGCTGCTATTTCTGATTACTTATGTCTTGTATTGCACTCTGGCTAGTTCACAGACATATGTCTTCTTCCCACTGCTCCATAAGCATAGGATTATATCTTCTAGTTCTTTAGTATTTTTTACTGTCTTATTATTGCACTGGTAACTACTAGCAAAAAATTTTTTTGTTGTTGCATAAGTTTTTTTAAGTTTATTTATTTCAAGAGAGAGAGACAGTGTGAGTGGGGGAGGGACAGAGAGAGAGGGGGAGAAAGAGGATCTCAAGCAGGCACTGTACTGTCAACACAGAGCCCAATGCGGGTCTCAGACTCACAAAACTGTGAGATCATGTCCTGAGCCGAAACCAAGAGCTGGATGCTTAACCAAATGAGCCACGCAGGCACCCCTGATGCATACTTATATGAAAGCCCATAAATATTTCTTCTTAGCTCAAAAAATAGGTCTTGAACCTGCACCAGGAAATCTCTTCAATATCCTATTTTAAAATTATGTTTTACCTTCATTAAAACTATCAGGAACATTGGCCACCAAGAGACATAAGAACCATGCACCATTTCTAACATGTAGCAAGGCTTCAGCGACATCCACTATTGGAAGCAGGGAAGGGAGCTCTATAAGAAAACAAAATCAATGTTACTAAGGAATGATATTTCACAGACATCATTTAAGAAGAATAAATTTAAGGGAGAAAAAAGCAATATGCTAAGGTACTTTCTTTTCATAGTCTAGAATGAACTATCCAGCCACATGTGGCTATTTAAATTTAAGTTAATTGGGGCACCTGGCTGGTGCAGTCCATAGAGCACATGACTCTTGATCTCAGGGTTGTAAATTCGAGGCCCACAATGTGTATAGAGAGTACTTAAAAATAAAATCTTTTCCAAAAACAAACAAATGAATAACTAAGTTTAAATTAATTAAATTAAATGATAAAAATAGTTCAGTTACGCTGGCCATATGTCCAGTAATCCGTAACTACACATGACTAGTAGCTACTGTATTGGAAAGCACTATATAGAACAACGCCACTGCTACACTAGGCAGTATTGGTCAAGAGTTACTTCCATGAAAATCTTTGCATTTTTATGTCTACCTTTCTAATCCTATTCAAAATTAGTAAGCTGAAATATTTTAAACCTCCCACATGTATTGTCTTAACTTTTAACTTTTTATATTCTATTTCTCATTTTACCCTTTGCTTTCTTCACTTACATATTGTGACCATTTTCAAAAATCATTAAATTTCTTCAAATACACTCTATTAATGGCTATATAACATGGCATACTATGGAAATAATATAATTTACTTAATCATTTTCCTATTATTAGCCATTTTTGTCTTAACATCTTAAGGTATATTTTTATAAAATGTGTAAAATAACATAATATTCAAAGTTACGAAGTTACACAGTATCATTTAACAAGAAATTATATTTTTAATGTATCTTATCAGTCATTACCTGCTTGTAAAATACAAAGTACATCTGCAGCTTCCTCCAAATAGACTGGACTCTCAAATAGCTCAGATGACTTAAAAAAAAATTCTCCACTGGACTCAGACACCTTAAAAAAGAAAAACAAATGAAAGAATTTCAGATAATCCCTCACTACTTTTATAATTGTCTGTTGAGCTTACAGACCATGTCTCTTACTATGTCATTAATATATACTGCAGCAGAATATGCAGTATTAGATAAATTTGAGCCAATGTATTCAATTCACAATTAGTCACATTAATTATTATTCAGACATGGCAATGTGGGTCTCAAGAATTTATTTCTAAATAAATATTTGGAGACATCTGGAATTAAAGATAACCAAACAAATGAACTAGGAAGGCCACCTACAAAAGTTGTAGCTCAGTAAAAGGCACAAAATGGTAAACTTAAAGCAGTATAACAAATACAAATGATGTCCAATTCCAAATGAACTGCAGGAAAAATAAAAAATAAAAATGTAGGTCAACAGAAGTACCTATTAATTTTTTAAAAAATATCCTACAATGGTTTCATCACACTTTCCACTTGCTACAAAGTTCTGACCTGAGAAACTAGAAACCTCCCAGAAGACAAAGGTCACTTATTTTACTAGAGCCATCAAGTTAAGTATTAAGAAAGAGATGTAGGGAAAGTATTGATTGAAATTAAGACTCATGGTGGGGCCTGGGTGGCTCAGTCGGTTAAGCACCCGACTTCAGCTCAGGTCATGGTTCATGGTTCAAGAGTTCAAGCCCCATGTCAGGCTCTGTGCTGACAAGTCACAGCCTGGAGCCTGTTTCGGATTCTGTGTCTCCCTCTCTCTCTCAAAAATAAAAAAACATTTAAAAAAATAATTAAAAAAAAGAAAATTAAGACTATTAGTGTAGTAGAAAAGAGCAGAAAGAAATAATTGTTTCTAATAGGAAACATTTTTTAAAAGATTTCTAACATCTACTGCAATTAAAAAAAAATAAATTTTCAAAAATAAAAATAAATAAATAAAGATTTCTAACGTATCTTAAAACCTATCCAAAACTGATTAATCGTACCATCCACCACCACCAGTATTTTCTCTGGAAACAGAATTTAGAGGTTTTGGGTCTACAATGTATAAAACTAAGCATTTTTTAGAAAAAAATTTTTTTTTTATTTTTTAATGTTTATTTTTCAGAGAGAGAGAGACAGAGTGTAAGCAGGGGAGGGGCAGAGAGAGAGAAACAGAATTCAAAGCAAGCTCCAGGCTCTAGGCTCTGAGCTGTCAGCACAGAGCCAGCCCAACATGGGGCTTGAATTCATGAACTGCAAAATCATGACCTGAGCCAAAGTCCGATGCTTAACTGAATGAACCATCCAGGAACCTCAGAAAAAAATTTTTTTAAGCTTTCTTTTGAGAGAGTGTGCACGCGCGTGTAGCACACAGAAGTGGGGGAGGGGCAGAAAGAGAGGGGAAAGAGAGAATCTTAAGCAGGCTCCACACTGTCAGTGCAGAGCCCTACACAGGGCTCAGTCTCAGGAGCCATGAGATCATGACCTGAGCCAAAATCAAGCATCAGATGCTTAACTGACTAAGCCACCTAGGCACCCCAAAACTAAACTTTATTATAAATAAACTGACCTTGAAATTCTAACAGTCAATAACTTTGCATTCTGAAACTCTGGGCTTAGTACATAAGCCATCTCAATATGAAGATACAGTTGAATTACTTTTATAGCAGACCCCTGATACACACAAATTTAAAATTCAGAGTTTCAATTAACCACAATTACCCAAAGGCCCATGAACTAAGTAATCTATCATTTTGCTGACATGCAAAGTTGAGTAGCATTAATTAGCATATAGGAGCAATTCAGTCTAACTAGTGAGTAAGGCTAGCCAATGATCCTACATCCAATTCAGCTTTGATATTCCCTATTCACTGGTATATCCAGATAATTAATGCTCATTCAGTGTCTAAAGAAATCACATATATTTTCCATTTATGCTTTAAAATATTTTATGAGGGAAATTATATCCTATAAGGGTATTAACAAATTTGGTAATTTGTACAAGTCTTGAGCAATGTACCCTTCTTTTTTCTTTTTAATTTTTTTAATGTTTTATTTATTTCTGAGAGAGAGAAACAGTGTGAGCAGGGGAGGGTCAGAGACAGAGGGAGATAAAGGATCTGAAGCGGGCTCCAAAAAATAACCTCTGTAATAGAAAATTCAGAACAGGCATAAATGAGAGAAAATAGTAGAGAAAGAAAGCCTTTAAGGCAAGCATTTAATATCCTTTTAAGCCTTTTGGGGAGCCTTGGTGGCTCAGCTGGTTAAGCATCTGACTCTTGATTTTGGCTCAGGTCATAGTCTCAAGCTCCACCTCGGGTTCTGTACTGACAGCATAGAGCCTGCTTCAGATTCTCTCTTCTTCTCTCTGTGGCACCCCCTGCCTCCATAAATAAATAAACTTAAGGATATGTTTTTTTAATTTTTATTAAAATAAGTTTATTAAGTTTATTTATTTATATATATATGTAGGCTTTTGAGCCTTTCAAAGGAAAACACAAAACAAACAGAAATATGTGTAGAAGAGCATATAACTTGCCTGGCTTCTTGCCTGTGTCTCTACTTCCTATGTGTAGACACCAAATCATGCACATTTTTAGGTGTGATTAAAATAAATGCCCTTTGGGGTTCCTGGGTGGCTCTGTGGGTTGAGCCTCTGACTCTTCATATCAGCTCCAGCCATGATCCCAGAGTCATGGGATCCAGCCCAGTGTTAGGCTCCACACAGGGCATGGAACCTGCTTAAGATTCTCTCTCTCCCTCCCTCTGCCCCTTTCCCCTACTCACTCTTTCTTTCTCTCTCTAAAAAAATTTTTTTAAATGCACCTTGTTCATAATTGCCAACAGTTCGCTAAGCACAAGACGCAATCGACGAGGTGAATCACTGTGTTCAAACTCTAATGTCAGTCCATGCTGAAGCTGTGATACCAGGATGCTCTCTCCACTGCCTCCTCCAAGTTTATGCCTAATAAAGTACAAATGCGTACAATTATGAGAACACTGGCATAAAAATAGCATAAGATTATCTTTTGCTGAAATAATCTACAAAAGAATGTATGAATTCTTTTCATACATTTCATTTTCTGAAATATTATTTAGTTTGCCTATTTCAGGATTTCACAACCTATATAAGACACCAGCTAACAGTTAACACCCATTTACATGAACAGTTGCTCGCTTTTGGATTCACAATGAGCAGGAAAGGACCAAACAACTGTCCAGAATCTGGGGAAATCAATGTAAGCTTAAAAAGCCTCCTGAGTGATTCCAGTAAATACCTCTACTTTTAGGGGAACTTACCCTACCCACTTCCCACTGAGAGCGATTGGCCGAGTCAGTTTAGCATGAATACAACAGTATGTGTAGCCAAACTTCTCTACACAATGTTTTAGCATATGGAATTCTAGAATTTTAACTATAAATAGAAAAGAACTCAGTAAAATGCTCTCCAAAGCTTAGATTCTCAGTCTTTTCTGGGGGAGTGCATCCAATAATAAGTCCTAAAATCTCCAAAAAATATACGATTCCCTCTTCTTTGAGAAATCTGAGTAAATCCCAATCCACACGTTAGATAACACATTACCTAAGCTGCTGTTCTTTGCTGGCATCCTGTTCTAAAGCATGAAAGTCCACTGACAACAACGCAACAATGGAGTTGACAGCTTCCACTCCAGAGAGAAGACGAAGGATGAGTTTTTTATCCTGAGCCCAGCTCTGGCTCTGGTCAGCAGGAGCACAAAGTGCCATTCGCACCAAGCAGGGCAGGAGAAGTCTCAATTCTGGATCACTTAAAGATGCCAACCGAACAACATCCACTTTCTGCATTGCCTCAAAAGCAAAAGGGCTGACAAACTGGAGGCTTGTACACTCAGCCATTACCACTGTTGCTCCTAATGGTAAAAAAAACACAAATGAAAGTAGGCAAATAACTCCTACATGTATGAATGCCCCTCTTTTTAAAAACCCTGAGAAGTGTGGTCTATCTTTAACAGGCCTCTATGTTGGCTGTTTCTGGCACAAGGGAAGGCTCCCTATGTTTCTACTCCCACCTAGAAAATGAAAAAGAAAACAGAGTACATTAATATCTCCTCCAGCCCTCGGGATCTTCTGTTCTAATACTTAGTTTGCAAAGAAGAAATACGAAGTCCAGAGAGATTACATTAACAGACATACAGTGATTACTACTAGCAGCAAAATCCAAGGCTAAACCCTCATCTACTAAATCTCAGTACAAGACTTTCTCCACTGCATCAATCATCTGAGCACCACAGTGCAAATAAAAGTAAATGAGTAGGATAGTTAAGAATGTGTTCCTCCTCCATACCTCTTTAGTTCCTTATGTTTACCCAACAAATGTAAAAAAACTGTTACCCTTCTATTTCCCATCCTCCATGAATCAATAAAAGCACTGCTAAATCTCACTAGGCAGAAGCAATGCCAGACTCAAAGTTCTGTAGGCCCTAACACTATCCTAATGCCCCTGGATTTCCTGGGAAAAAAATTGCTGTGGAGGTGCAATTAGCTATGGGAGAAAGAGGAGATCCACTTGGGCACTTCTCTGTCTTCACTAATCAGAAGCCAAAAAAAAAAGAAAGAAAAAAGGAGGCAGGGAGCAGGTGGCCAATGCCATCCCCTCCAAACCAACACGCTAACAAAATCATGGGTTAACAGAGTCGTGGGCAGAAACGCTACTTTGTTTTTAACGAAGAGGAGCTGGCCTTTTAACACAGGGGCGGGCTGAGGGAGCAGTGGCGCCAAGCAAGACCTGTTTGTGCTCACAGGTCTCGCCCTCAGCCTAACGAGAAGCAACCAGTCCCCCTGGCAGAGAAATGAAAGGCCAGTGACCGACGTGGACCGGGGAATGAGCTGAGGCCTGAGAAACGGAAGTTTCGTACCTCAAGATTTACCCTCCAACCTCCCGGGACTCAACACCGATTCCGCGCCCTAGAGACGGGACACGGTAGAAATCGAGAGCGCGGTCCAAAGTTGGGCCTAGGCGAAAATCCGCGTTCGCCAACCCCAGCTGTGCCCTGAATCGACCCAGGCACCAAAAACCCAGACGCCGGGACCAATGGGGTCGGCAGTGCGATAGGGCTGGATGGGGACGCCGCACAAAGGCAGACGCCGCACTGAAAAGAGGGGAAAGCCGAGAGGACTGTTTCAACCTGCACCCAGCACCTTCATTCATCCCCAGCGTCTGGCTCCCGTCGGCCACCGTACTGGACCGAGAGGAAGGCTGTCTGCAAAGGAAACCCAGAGACGTCCGCGCTGATGCAACGGTGCGCGTGCGCGGTCCCACCTCTTCCTCTCCGCCCCGCGTAACTTCATCCCCGAAGAATTAAAGTGCTGCTTTGGGTTTCTTCTTTCAAAACCTATCACTTTTATCCTTTCCGATTAAATCCTTAAGCTCCTCTGAGCTGCAGTCTCATCATTAAAGGATTTTTGTGGCATTTGAGTGACGTAACGTATGTAAAAGAAACGTTAAAGTTGTTTCTAGTGTCCTTTGACCGGAACACTAATGACTATTTCTATCCTTACCTGTGTCCCCCTAGCACCTAAGTTCTGGAATCCTAGGAATTTTAGGCGAATTTAAAAATCTTTTCCAGATCTTTCGCTCTTGACCTCATACGCTCTCAAGTCACAAGTTAAACATCTGCGTTTCAGGGTTCTATGCCTTCGGGTGCAGGGTTGGGGAATGGGCAAAATGGATGAAGGGGAGTGGGAGGTACAGTCTTGTAGTTGTTGAATGAGTAACTAACTCCGTAGAAATTATAGTCAATTGTATTGTAATAGATGGTAGCTACTTGTACGGTGAGCCTAGAGTATAACATAGAGTTGTCCAGTCACTATATTATACACTTGAAACCAATGTACCATTGTGTGCCAACTGCACTTAAATTTGAACAAAAAATCCAGTCCCATAGACCTTTAGAAAGCGATGGACAGGGTTTCAGGAATTCCCTGGAATCTGCAAAATTGTGAGTGCTTGACACTTCTGGAGAGAGGATCCACAGCTTTCAACAAGCTTTCAAATCTCTTCTAAGCACCCAGAAGAGATTAAAAACTACTAGTCTGTCTATTTTTGTACTGTTTCTAGTTCCTGGTTTCAGCAATGTACATTTAGCACCTTCTGTTTACCGGATACTGTGCTACAAGCTGGAAGCAAAAATATTTTACAGAGAGAACTACAGTTTCATACTATATAGTTTCCAAGGCTTTCAGAGTGATAATCTCCTAATAAAGTCTGCTTTCAACATTAAAAATCAACAAAAGAAGAAAAGAGCTAATGTGTGTTTCAGTGTTTCTCAAACTTCTATCCACCTGACCTACAGTAATACATTTCACATTGTGACCCAGGACACACATGCTCATATATACCCATATTTAAATGGAACAAAATTTTTATGCAATAACATACTACATGCGATACGAACTATTTCATTTCTTTAAATTGCTGGTCACACGGCACACGAATGGCTCAGTTGGTGAAGCATATGACTCTTGATCTTGGGGTTGTTAAATTCGAGTCCCACATTGGGTGTAGAGATTAAAGTTGTTAAAAATTTTTTAAATTTCTGGTCACTACACACTAAAGATTTCAGTCTATTAGGTTACAAATTGTACAATATTGTCATTTTTAATCTGGTATCTATTGAACACTTGCTAGGCACTAGTATTTTATATCTAATTATCTGAAGTAAGTAACAGTCTCTATATTTGTGTGGAAATTGAGACTGAAAGAGGTTAAACAATTTAATCTCCTTGGATGGTCTTTTCACAGGAGGAGCACGAAGAGAATTCAGACTGGTTTGAGGGATGAATAAGAGGAGAATGGGGATGTGAACTAGTGATTTTTAAAAAATCCTTTTATTTATTTCTGAGAGAAAGAGAGACAGCGGGAGCAGGGGAGGGTCAGAGAGACACACAGAATCCAAAACAAGCTCCAGGCTCTGAGCTAGCTGTCAGCACAGAGCCCTACAGGGGGCTCGAACCCACAAACCGTGAGATCATGACCTGAGCCAAAGTCAGACACTTAACCGACTGAGCTACCCAGACACCCCAGTGAACTAAGTTATTTTTAAGATCTCTTCCAACTCAAGGGGCACCTGGGTTACTCTGAGTCCCATGCTCTACCAACTGTGCCACCGAGGTGTCCTACAAAAAAGATGTATTTCATCAACTCTGGTGACTTTTTCACATTTTAACATCTCTGATGTTGCAGTGTCTTAAGATCAGTAATGCTCTGGGGCGCCTGGATGGCTCAGTCAGTTAAGCGTCTGACTTCGGCTCAGGTCATGATCTCACGGTTCGTGGGTTTGAGCCCCGGATCGGGCTCTGTGCTGACAGCTAGCTCAGAGCCTGGAGTCTGTCTTCAGATTCTGTGTCTACCTCTTTCTCTGACCCTGCCCTGCTCATGCTGTCTCTCTCTCTCTCTCAGAAATAAACATTAAAAGAAAACTTTTTTAAAAGATCAGTAACGATCTTTATTTTTTAGTGGTACATATAATGATGTCTTACAATTACTGGTGTTTAGATTCGATGAAACATATTGTGTAGTTCCTATACTTCAAGTCAAAAAAGAACACTCCTTCCTAAGTGAAGTAATTAGTCTCCTCTGACTGACTGACTTTGATTTACCCTTTTCTACTAAACTGTTTTTTAGTTTAGTAGAAGGAAGAGGACAAACAAAAGCAAAGAAAATACAATACTGTGTTTCAAGCACATTAGGTCCTTTTATTTAGATTATTGCCAAGTAAATGAGCTTCAAGAAATTCGAAGACCTAGGTATTTAAAGAAAAACCAATTTTCTTTGGAAATTGACTCACAGAATTTTGGAAGTACAAGGATCTCAGGAGTCACCTAACTCAAGTTTTCTCAACATGGAACTCTTCTTTTTGGACTCTTTTACACTGGCTATCTGCAAAGCAGATCATCTCTTCATTAATTTTATGGGTAAAATACTGAATGGAATTGGGTCCAGCCAAGATTCTATAGTACATTAGAGACATCCCTCCAGGTTGATGGAGACAGCTCCATCAATCAAGCCTTTTTTGGTATGACTGTTCAATTAATTATGGATCATCCCAACTATTGGAACACTTTCCTGCTTTGGGATAAAGTTCATTTTCCTTATGGTGGCACTCGAAAGACAGAGTTTTTCAGTCTGACTTCTTAGCACTGGTTTGGATTCCTGCATTATCTATCCCACCATAATGCCTCTGTTTCAGTCTGTTGGAACTGCTGTTTCCCAAATCCTCCATGCTACTCATGGGCCTTCTCTTCCACTGTTCCTTCAGTCTGAAATCCCTTTATTCTCTTTATGTAGTACCTCCTATGTATCCTTTAAGTCTCACTTCCAGTGTTCCCTCACTAAGAAATCTTTCCCTGACAAACCCCCTATCAAAGTATCCCTCTTCAATGTTCTCAAGGCTCCCTTTACTTCTTACATCATAGCACTTCACATATTGTACTACATTGTTAAAACTTGGTCTCTCCTACCAGAAAGTAAGTACTCGAGGGCAGGAACTACAGTATGGTACTTAATACTAGTTTGTTGAATAAACTGAGACTTCAAGAGGTTCTATATTTTGTCTGAAGTCACCAGCTAAAATGTGGCAAATCTAAGAGCACAAGAATCCTAATCTAGTGATTAACTGTTTCTACTGTGAAAATAGCCTCAAGTAATTAGATTGTACAACCTCATTTGAATTTTTGCAGAACTCAGAATTCAACTAAGTACTATAGTTTGAGGTATTTATCACAAGAAGTCTGTTCACATATTTCAGTGTCCTACTAATGTGCTAGATGTTCTGCTGGATTCTAGATGCATCAGTAAGCAAAACAGACCCAATTTCTGCCATTTATGAGGTCATTTAGTAGGATCAAGTATTCGTACAAACTGTGAAAAACACTGTGAAGACTCCCTATATTATTACAATAAAAGTATATTACTGGGGGGGGGCGCACCTGGGTGACTCAGTCAGTTAACTGACTCTTGATTTCAGTTCCAGTCATAACCTCATGGTTCGTGAGTTCGACCCCCCACATCTGGCTCTGTGCTTTCAGTGCTGAGCTTTGTCTCTCTCTTTGCCCCTCCCCTACTTGCGTTTTCGCTCTCTCAGGATAATAAATAAACTTTAAAAAAAGTATATTACTAGGGGACCTGGTCTGAGACAAGGGTGTATACGGAAAGTGTGAGGGTGTGGAGGAGCCTTAAGGCAAAAATTACCATGGGGCTTTCAAAGAACTCAAATGCCCTAAGAGGCAAGGAGGAAAACACATTCTGAGGCTTGTGGAGAAGGCAGGGGACAGCCATGTTAAGATTTTTGTATTTAGAGCAAGCAGCAGCCATAAAGGGTTTCTGACTACCAAGAAACAAAAAAAAATCACAGGTAATATAAACTGTGAGACAGAATAACTTAAGAAGGTAGAAGTTCCAACAACATACATCTATACGCCTCCTTTTAAAGGATTATTTTAAAACTTTTGCTGGCAAAAACTATTTCAAAATGGACACGATTTTGGGGTTTGTCCTTACTCAGCTTAAGTTTGGACAAAAATATTTTAAATGGCTGCTCATACAAAATATTTTTAATGGAGTGTTCATATCTGAACACTTTGTTTCAAAGACATGTGATCAAAAAAAGTAGGATTGAGCTAAGCTTTAAATATCTGTAGGTAGCTTTGGACTAGAAAACAGATACCAACTGATGAGCCTAAAAGGAATACGTATGTACATATACAATCTTCCTGTTTATTAATCACTAATATGGTTAGAATCTTTTTAAATAAAATACTTCAGATGGAGATATTAAAAGTACAATTAATTTCTGGGTTACCCCTTTGCACTTAAGACAAAAAATACCACTAATTTTTAAGTTTAAAATGGAAATATTTTTAACAGAATGAGACACCACAATGAAGGCTTCATGAATAATTTATTCCATTTGAAGTTTTGTTTTTTGTTTTTTTTTTTTAAAAAGTATAAACCTTTTCATTTCCTCAATCACAATTTGTACAACTCAGTGTTATGGCATTCGGCAGCAATAGTGTTTGTTCCTTATTCTTTTTTTTTGTCACATAAAAAAAAAAAAGCAATTGGACCATATTAAGTGTCACTGCTAAACAACTTTAAAACGCCCCTTCATAAAGTGACCAAGCTATTTTGAGAGAGTTGATGCTGACATGTCCAGTAATGACGTTACAATTTGTAGTTTAAAATCAGTAACTTTAAGGTCCACAAATCCAGTTTACTTTGAAAACTAAAACTATTTTA